GGCAACACACATCACTTTCAGAGCTGGCTCCCAGGCCTCCTGTCTGGACCACTGCAGTATCCCTTAATTGGTCATCTCTCCCCTCCCAGCCATCCACATGCTGCCACTACTGCAGCCAGATTAATCTTCTTAATACACCATTTTGCAAATCTCTTCCCTTCCTGTACAAACCTCAATGGCAGCATTGTGGGCAGAGGCAAGTTCAGCCTGAGTCTAGGATAGAGGCCATTATGCCTGAGCTCTGTGGGGCCCTATCTACCCTCTAGATTCTTGATCCTGAGGATGCCGGGCGTGTTCCTTCCTGTGTCCCTTTGCTGGAGGTGCTCACCACAGGTGAGCTGGCTGCTCATCTCAGTTGTCTCTGAGCTCTGTGGTACTCTTGGTTTTTCCTGAGCTACAGCTCAGAGCTTCTCACAGATGTCTGGGCCCACGGGACCATCCCGGGTTGGCCCTGGGCTGCAGGTTTTCACAGGCTTTAATTCCTCTGCTCTACAGAGTAGCTTCTTCACGGGATGGTGTTAAATTTGTTTAACTGGAGCTAGCCCTGGTTACAGAGATGGGACAGAGTGGGCAGTTCCCTTGTCTTCAGGTGCAATCCCACCTTTTTTATCTCACAGGTGGCTGATGGCACAGGTTTGGGGAAGTATTGGGCCTGTGAAGCAGGGGGCAGCTCACCTGGGTCCACCCTTGCTGCTAGCCTCAGGAAGGGAGGAGTTTACAATGAGTATTACCAAAGAGCAGAGGTCCAGGGCCTTAGGCTCCCTGACATCTCCTCCCACAAGGCTCCACTGGGCCCTGACATTTGTGAACCGCAGGAAGAACTTGACTGAGACCTGAGAAAGGATTTCTGAAGCTGAGAGTCGGTGAGGCAAGGCTGGAATCTGCTTAAGTGCACTTGTGTGCATTGTGTTGGTTTTCTCTGCATGAGGAGGGAGCGTGACATTGTGGAAAGAGCCCCAAGGTCAGGGGTAAAGGGGAAGTACAAAAGCCCAGGCCATAGGCCTTTCTGAGGGAGCCATGTGACCTCCATCTAGCTTCCCTAGCCCTCTGGGAGGGTCCCATTCTTCCTTCATTTGGTCCTGAGCGCAGAGGAAATGAAATGCTGGGCTCAGCAGAATCAAGCTGCGCTTCGGCCCCTTGGAGGCAGCTGTGGCCAGAATTACGGCTGTGGTCCCTGGGGCTAGCATGTTGCTAAGATTGCGTCCCTATGTCCTGTCCTACATCTACAAAACATTCCAACCTCTGATTTAGTAACATGGACAGACCTGACTAGGACAGGAGGGCTTTTTTCCATAGATTTCCGTGGATGACTGGACCCTGGAGAGAGGCATGATGCCTATTTACAGAAGACCGGACAGGCTAAAGGAAAAATGCCTAGCCCAGCTACACTTGCAGCAGACACGCATGCATCTGCACCTGAGCAGACATGGATATTTCTGCAGAGCTGCTTGTCAGGATGGAGAAATTTTAGTCTCTGCTTCCCCACCCCACTCAATGAGGACCAATGGTGTAGGCCTCCAGGGGTCCCCTGCACAATCCTCAGTGAACTTCTTGGTGTGAAGGTGAGAGGGGTACATGTGTTATGAGTTGTCAGTCCTAACTGTGGAGAACACAGGTGACGACATTGGGGCAGAATGAGACCAGTCCTCTGTGCAGTAAACATCTTTTTAAGATTTGCTAATGGAATAAATATATACCAAATCTATCAAATCTTTCAGCTACTTACAAATCGTTTTTTTAGCCAAATTTGGTATTGTATGGCTGTAATCCCAGATACTTGCATGGCAGAGGCAGGAAGATTGAAAATTCAAAGCCAGCATGAAAGAAGTTGGTGAGACCCTTTTCAAAAACAAAAATACAAGTAATAAGTCTGGGGACACGGCTAAATGGTACTAGAGCTCTTCCTGAACCTGCTTACAACCCTGGGTTCAGATGCTAGCATCACAAAAAGAAAAAAGAAAAGGGTTTTAGCAGCTTTTTTGAAGTACAGATCAAATATGTTATATTCATTCAAAATGTAAGTATTTGAGGTTTCAGTTTGCATATACATAATGGGATATCTTGGAAATGGAACCTGTGCTTTAATATAAAATTCATTCATGTTTCATATTCCTTGTACATATTGCCTGAAGGTAATCTTATACAATATTTGTAATGCATCTAGGTTTTTTTTTTGTTATTGTTGTTTGTTTCGTTGGTTGTGGGGCTTGAACTCAGGGCCTGGGCATTGTCCCTGAGTTCTTTTGCCTCAGGGCTAGTGCTCTACCACTTTGAGCTATAGCTCCACTTCCAGTTTTTGTGGCTTTTATTTTTTTTTGAGTGGTTAATTGGAGGTAAGAGTCCTACCAGGACTTTTCTGCATGGACTGGCTTTGAACCACAATGCTCAGATCTCTACTTCCTGCGTAGCTGGTATTACAGGCATGAGCCACTGGTGCCTGGCTTGCATCTGTATTTTGATTGTGATCTGTCACATGTGGTCAGGTGGAACTTATGACATTATGTTGGTGTTGAAAGAGATTTGGAGCATTTTGTACTTTGGGCTGTCAGATTAAGGATGCTCAATTTGTATAATTTATATGATGTGTGAAATCTACACATTATAAGTATACCTCAGCTGTGTGTTCATGTCAACTTGTTCTTTATTCATGTATCTCTGTTAGTTTGAAATAAAACAATATCCATTAGAAGATGCATGAACATTTGGTGCATTCCTTTGTGTGGCTTCACCAGCCCTTCATGGGTCTGGATCTTGACTCTCCAGTGTTAGCAGGGTGATGTAGGGTAGGGCCCTAGCCCTAACTCTTCCCGACCTGTGACTTTGCACCAGGCACCTATCATCTTTTAGCCTCTTCTGCTCACCTGAAGCACCCAGCAGAGGAGGATGGTTATGCGGTAGCTCATAGAATAAAGCAATGGTGAATCTGAGACCTGGGAATCTCACACTAGGTGGTTATTACTTGTCATCTTTATCCAGTCCAAGGGTGGAAGATGGGGCAGGTAACAGTGACCAGACCTAGAGGCAGGTGCATTGTTCCTCCCTCCCTCCTGGCAGACTAGATTTGAGATGCAGATCCTGATCCAACTGGGATCAGGAGATACCTCCACCTTCTGCGCCATGCTCACACTGGAGGGACCAAGCGTCCTGCCTCAGTGCAACCCTGTTAACTAGGTCAGTTGGGAATGTCCCCTCCTGCTCCCACTCACAGAGCTCAAAACTTGCTTGCGATCTTCCAGAGCAGTGTGCTATAGGTCGTAATAGCTCTGCCCTCCCACCCCTGGTAGCTGCTCACCCTCTGCTCAGCTGGCTGTCTGCCCTGCCTGCGAACCCTTTCTGCCTTTGAGAAGAACCCCATTCATAGAATATGTCTCCCTAGTAGCTATGGACCCTAAGGTCCTAGCAACCCCCTGCTAGTGAAAAAACCCTTTCTGCCAGATCTCCTCCCTTCCTTCCAGGCTGGCTGCACAGACAGGCCCATTAGGATACATTTGGTCATGCCCAGGAGCTGGCTGTATGCTTGTGCAGCCAGACGAGGCAGCTGGGTGAGCAGGAGGTGGTGTCTGATGGAATCAAGGCCTCATTTGGCTACGTCTTTCTTTTTATGGTAGTTTGAACTCAGGGTCTCATGCTTACTAGACAGGTGATCTACCACTTGAGCCATGTCTCCAGCCCTGACATTGTGAGCAGCTTCTATAGACTTTGGGCTTTGGGTTTACCTTTCCCCTGTTAAGTGGGCAGTGGGCTTCATTGAACCAATTACATCTCTACCTGTATTCCAGCCCTCAATCTAGCCATGCCCCCTCCCTTTCTCTTCTTCCTTCAACCCCCCCCACCCCCCCCCCCCCCGCCAAACTTTAGCTCTGGTTTCCCATGTAACCCTTCCCTTCCCTCCCTGACCCCCTGGGGAGACTCATCCTTTGGAGTTCAAGTGCCAGTTCAAGACTGAGCCTTTCTCACGGTGTTCACCTCTCACCTTTTCTTCTCTGAACTACCGGATTTACTGCTCAGATTATTTATTTTGGCATTGAGGCAGGATTTGGAGCCCCTTGTGATTATTCAGCTGTTTAGTGTGTGTACAACTTGTTTCCAGCTAGACACTGTACTCTTGGGAGGCAGGCGTGAGGTTGGCATTTTTTTTCCAGCTTCTTCAATGCCTGGTACATTGCTAGGCATCCAGGCAACACTCCATACTGGAAGGGCTGTGACTAGTGAGCTGGAACAACAAATGAGACAGGGTTTGTCACTTATTCTTGTAAGAGCCTCTCTAGGATGCATTCTTGGTCCCAATCCCAGACCGTGCATAGGAACATAAAAAGAATTACCTCTGATGGTTTATGGTTGGCCAGAGAGGTTGAGAATTTTGCTAAAGATCACAGAGTGAGTGACAGGATAGGCTAAGGATTATTCCAGGTGTCTTACTTGTTCTCAGGCTGAGGCTGCAGGTGCTTCTTCATCCCGGAGGGGTCTTCCTCTTTCTCATTGACTGGGACTGGAAAGATGTGCATTCAAGGGGAGGAGGTCTGGATGGAAGCAAGCAAAGCCAGTGATTGTCCAATGGAAGGCTGCCAAGTTCATGGAGTAGTTAATGGCCACAGACTGTGTGGCTCTGTGACTGGCTGTGCATGTGAAGCTTTGGCCGTGACTCTCTGATGTGAACTGGCTTCGTTGTCTTCCTGACCTGGGCCACTGCACTGGTGTGGTAGCACAGGACAGGGTTGTCTCCAAGCTCCCAGGGAAGGTAGAACAAAACCCCTACACAAGTCTGTGGCCTCAAGATCAGGGACGGACTAACTGGGGGCTATGGGTTTCATGTGGGCCTTTCCCAAGGTTGCTGTCCTTAAATGCATTTCTCCTGGATCCTGAGGGGGTCCGGGAGAGGGTCTTCCTCACAAACCCTCCCAGAGTTGCTGTTCCTGCTTCTTATCTCCCGGGGGCCCCAGAAGGACTGAGATATAGGATTCAAGGGTGAATCTACTCTTTCATGCCTTGTTGTCTTCTAGCCTGAAGAGCTCACCAATGCCCTGGAGATTAGCAACATTGTCTTCACCAGCCTCTTTGCCCTGGAGATGCTGCTGAAGCTGCTCGTATATGGCCCCTTTGGCTACATCAAGAACCCCTACAACATCTTTGATGGTGTCATTGTTGTCATCAGGTATGACTGCCTCCCATTGCCTCTTGCTGTCAAAATGCCAGCAGGGGTGGTATAGGGAGAGGAATTGTGCAGCCCAGCCTATTCCTCTGAGGTAGAAGAGTCTGGAGCCAGCCAGATCACACTGGCTCGTAGACTGTACCGCTTTCCCCAGGTAAGGGCCTGTCTGTGGTCCCATGCTCAGCTCCATCTCCTCTCTGGGCCCTACCTGTTCTTGTGGACATGGGGCTCCTAGCTCCTTTGGGTGGTTCCTTCTCCAGTCACCTGTCCCCAGCTCTACCTCTTGTCCATAACCCTACCCAAGCCTGGAGTAGGTAGCTTTGGGGAGGAAGTGGAGGAGTCAAGTCTAGCCAGCTTCCCTGCTTTCAAAGTGCTTGGAAACAAAGTTAGCTATTAGCAACTTGCTTTAGGATTCCAAGACCTTGAGAGAGTATTCCAGTTCCCCTCATTCCCTCCATTACCGGCCTGGGGCCAGGAGAACTGCTTTATTGGTTTGGAGAATTGGCTTTAGATTTCATTAGAAGAGAACAAAGCAAATATTCCATAACTTGATGTAGTTGCATTGGCTTGATTTAGGGAAAGGGTAACCTGCTGCCAGGAGGTACTCTCCTCCTAAGGAGAGAGAGCAGTGAGGACTGGGGCTGTCACCTGAATCCTCCCCACCTTGGAGCCTCCAGCCTGGAGTCCCAGGGCCCATACAAGCTTCCTTTCTCATGCCTGGCTGGCCAGCGCAGCCCCAGGTGTGCTGAGTCCATGGAAAGGGAGGGTTGGATGCAAAGGTGTAGGGCTCAGGCTACCTGCACCCTCCTGCAGCGTGTGGGAGATCGTGGGCCAGCAGGGGGGTGGCCTGTCGGTGCTGCGGACCTTCCGCCTGATGAGGGTGCTGAAGCTGGTGCGCTTCCTGCCGGCGCTGCAGCGGCAGCTCGTGGTGCTTATGAAGACCATGGACAACGTGGCCACCTTCTGCATGCTGCTCATGCTCTTTATCTTCATCTTCAGGTGAGCACGAGCTCAAGTGAAAGGTGGAGGGAGGGGGAGAGGTGGGCCAAGCAGGGGAGCAGGGCCTTGGGGGTGGGGGAGGGATGAGGGTGGGAACCCTGGGCCCTGAGGCTGTCTGCGGCTCCCTGTGTCTTCAGCATCCTGGGCATGCATCTCTTTGGCTGCAAGTTTGCATCTGAGCGGGACGGGGACACACTGCCAGACCGGAAGAATTTTGACTCCCTGCTCTGGGCCATCGTCACTGTGTTTCAGGTGCCAGGGTCACAGGGCAGGGGTGAGAGTGGAGGCCATCTCAGATCAAGGTCTTGACCCCTGTCCTCTGCCTACAGATCCTGACCCAAGAGGACTGGAACAAAGTCCTCTACAATGGCATGGCCTCCACATCATCCTGGGCTGCACTTTACTTCATTGCCCTCATGACCTTTGGCAACTATGTGCTCTTTAATCTGCTGGTCGCCATTCTGGTGGAGGGCTTCCAGGCAGAGGTAACCCCCCCCTGCTCTACCCACCTTAACCTGCCTGAGCCAGTCCCATTTCCAGGAGTAGTGGCTGCCTGTCTTGAGCCACTTCCTCCCTGCGTTGCCAGGTGTGGGGGGTGGGCCGGGAGGTCCCTCTGGCAACACCCCAGGATGGGTGGCTCTGGATCTCATGTACCCCCTGTCTCATCACACAGGAGATGGGATGGCTGGGTGGGTGGAATCTCTGGGTTTTAGGTTAGTGGCCAGTAGGCTTCTCTGTCAGTCAGCTAGAACCTTCCCAAGCCCAGGGCCAGGTACAAATGGTACAGCTGGACCCCGCTCCCCGCCAAGCACAAGTGCACCATGGGACTTCCAGGGAAGATCCGTCTGGGCTAAGGAGTGTGGGAGGCTTGCATGCAAGTCATCTGAGCACAGGCTGAACTGATAAAGATGCCACCAAGGCCAGGACAGGGCTGAGCTGCCCAGGGTGAGAAATGAGCCCAATTAGCTGCAGGCATGGCAGAGATGAGCGTCCTATTTCCAGCCCAGACTCACATCACCTCCGTCATCAATTAATATTGATTCACATTGATCCTATCCTGGCTGTGCCGGGGCACTCAGCCTCTGTCCAAAGGGCTTTACCCTCTACCCCACTGCCTTCTCCCTCAGCTCTGCCTCTTCCCACCTGAGCCCTCAGATCCTATCTAGCATCCTGGTATCTCAAGCAGGCCAGGTTGACCCAACCTAGAAATGCTCCAGGTTGGGCCTGGAAGTAGCTCTTGGTCCACTTCTCTCTGGGTGACCCGGATGGAAACTCCCGCTGCGGCCTGGTCTATAAATACCTAGTACATGGTGGAAAAACAAAAATCTATTTTCCAACCCTTTCCCAACCTTTACAAGGGAGGGCTGTTCCCTGTGGGCCAGGCTAGACTGGGGGTGGGGGGGCGGTTTGCGGGTACCTCTATCCTACACCAACCTTTCTCCCCGCTTCGATTTTAATTCTGTAGTTATCTATTATCGAATTTCCTTCCTGCTGGGTGGCAGCGAGGGTAGCTGTGGGGGAGGCTTTGAGGATGGCTGGGCCTCTAATAGGAAAGGAGGCCATCAGCGCTCTTCCTGGAACTTCCAGGGTTTCCCTGGGGCCTGAAGAGTTGATGGGGGTCCTGTAGGGCTCCCTCAGAGCCAGTGTCTTTATGGCCTCACACCTGACTGTTGCTTGTGGCTTGTAGGAGGAAGAGTTGAGTGAGGATGGGTCCCCTTTAGCCTCTTTGAAACAGCAGCTCCTAACACTAAGTTTCCCTCACAAAAATTCCCAGGGAGCTCTGTTGGGAAATGGAAAATGCCCAAGCCCATTCCTTTCCCTCCCTGCCATCAGCCACCATGGCAGTCCTGGAGGAGAGGGGCGCGGTTCCCCAGTGCAGACAAACCCCCTCCCCACCACTCAGCATTCACCAACACCTTGTTAAATTGAGTGCAGCTGAGCTGGCCTGGTTGCTAGGCAGCAGTGATGGCTGAGTGTGGGAACAGAGCTGCCTGGCCAGCTTCAGCCCAGCCCAGTCACCCTGGCCCTGTTGGAGATCTGTGTGAATGGCTCCAGCATGGATGGGTTGACAAAGGCCCCCAAGTCTTCAGAGTATAAGTTCTCTAAGTACAGAGAGGGTGTCAGGGAGGACCTTGGGCTGGGATGAGGTGTGGTACCCCCATCATGAGGGTGATCCATAGCTGTAGCTCTGAAATACCCAGGTGAAGGGACCTTTCCCTCCATTGACCTGCATGTGGTGACCCACACAGACGGAGGGCGCTCTCTCCTTTGTGGGGTTTTAGAAGGTCCCAAGGGTCTAACAGGAGAGTCTGGCTTTGCTGTTATATTGGTCTGGAATGTTGTTTTGGTTTGGTTTCTATTTTTTTTTCTTTTTCTTTTACAAATAAAACAACCCACCTCAGAGTAGGGCCACAGATGTCCCATTTTGATAGACTTCCTCAGCAGGAGATCTCAAAGGTAACCCCCCCACTGGCCTTGTCATTGAGCCAAGAGTGGGCAGGGGGTGGCCCTGGAGACAGAACCTGCTTGGCTGTTGATTTCCTGACTCTCAGGGGGGAGCAGCGCCCTGAATTCCAGTCTATTTATCATCCACACACTTAATTAAATGAGCAGGCAGCAAAGCCCTGTGTGCGGCCATTAATTGATATTAAACAACATCAGAGCCATCATCCCAGTGTTACTTGTCACACCGTGTGACCTGTCACATGCCATACCACTCGGAGCAGCTAGATCCTTTCTGACTTGGAGGGACTGTGGTTGTGAGTCTGAGAAATCAGGAGGTTTGATTGTGCCTCCTGTTTGAAGCCCAGTCACTGGCTTCTGTCTCCTTCTCCTTTCCCTCCCTGCCTTTACCCATACCCATGCCTCAGAGTCCGGGAGCAGTGTTCTGAGCTGGAGATGCTAGATACAGGGTTTTGATCCACAACCTCTTTCTCTGCATGAACTGTGTCACTTTTCATAACTTCACAGACCTCAGGCGCCTCTCCCTAGAAGATGGCCAGTGGTGTCATTGCCCACCACCCCTCCATGCATGGTCACCGCTGTTTCTAGGGTGACTGGGGGCCTTGAGCCTTCCCTGCCTTTGTTTCCTTATCCGTGGCTTCTGCCCACACCCTTCAGATTCATTGTGGCCTGGGGGGGCCCTGTGGTTGAAATCTGCAAGGCCATCCGGTCCCATTCCCCTACCTTACCCCGTGTCTCTTGCCTCCCTTTGCTATGGGGTGTGGACCCTCCTGTGTTCATCCTCTTGGGACACTGCTGATATTTGAAGGCCCTAGCGCCTGTGACCAGCAGTCCTCCCCTGCCTCCCCCTCTCCCTGTAGGAAATCAGCAAACGGGAAGATGCGAGTGGACAGTTAAGCTGTATTCAGCTGCCTGTCGACTCCCAGGGGGTAGGTACGAGATCACAAGTCAGCATGCCCCTGCGCCCATGCCCTCCCCCTCCCCAATTCTGCCTCCGTGTCTCTGTGCTCCCATTCACGCTCAGCTGCTGTGCAACCTGTGGTAGCCGTGGTGGTCATTGGTGTTGTGAGGTTTGCTTTGATTTTAAGTCCCTTCCCCCTTGAGGACACAGAATGGAGGAGCCTCTTGACCTCTACCCTCATCAACCCACAGGCACATTCCCATCTCTCCCAGGCCGATGGATAGACTGGTGAAGGAAGGGACTTAGAATCCTCTGTGTGCACGTGTGTGTGTGTGTGTGTGTGTGTGTGTGTGTGTGTGTGTGTTGGGGGGGCATCCTGTGTGCCTGTGTCTACACTGAGGTCCCAGGGCATCCAGGACATCAGCCTCAGTGGAGTTAAGACCTCTGGCCATGGGACATACTCTCCCTACTTCTCTCCCTTTCACTCATTGCCCTGGGCCTCCATTGGAGATCCCAAACTACTTCAACTCAGGACAGATCCTTGGAGGATGTGGAAACAGGGGTATGGCTCTTACCAGGACATTACTGGAATTTTTTAATTCATCAGAGTCTCAGGCTCCCAAATCACCTGATTAGGTCCAGCCCACTACCTCAGGACATACTCGTCCTATGGCCCCCATGTTGAGCATGTGCCTTGTAGTTTCCTTACACTGGCACTGGAATTTGGGGCGAAGCCAGGTTTCCCATGGGACCCCATGGTGCTGCACATCTCAGGCAGCCCCCTGGAGATCCCACTTGATAATTAAAGGCCTCGTTAGGGATGTAAACTAAGTTAATGAAAATGATCCCCTGAGATGCCAATTACCCAATATTTATGTCCTTATCAAAAGTAGCAATCAAGTATTTTTTAATAACTTCTAAAGGAGAAGTATGTAATTACTGGGGAACCTACTGACCTGCTAAGAAAGAAGAAAAGAACTATCTCAGAGACAGAGAAGTAGAAATGGGGCCAGAGAGGGTCTGGGGTTTGGCACAGGTAGAGAGCAGGGGCAAACAGACTGAAGTGACATCTTTGGGCCACTCTGGCTGGCCAGGTTATTTTAATGTTTTAGGGGGGGGTCCTTAGGTTGGGAAAGGAGGAGTCATGGAGAGGCCTGGTGGCCTCAAGTAGACTTTTAGGATTGAGGCTTTAGTGAACATTTCACTCAGGTCTCCAGCTCCTCCAGCCTGTGTCACCTGCCTGCCTGGCCACTCATTGTAGCCCCCATCTCAGTCTTACTGCCATTCCAGCGAGGCTGGTTGTGCTATTGACTCTGGTGGCCTTTATCTGAGGTGTGGCTGGTGAGAGGCAGAGGCTCAGCCCTGGTAAACCTTGAGTCCCCAGCCTGGGTAGTCTGGCCTGCTCCTGTGCATGCCTCGTTGTGACGTAGTTGCTGGTTCCTGTGGCCCTTTATGTGGTGTGTGCGTGTGAAGAGAGGGGAGACCTTGCTCCAGCCCAATGACCCCTGCCTGCAAAGGCCCTGATGAATGGCCCACTGCTCCCTCACTCTAGGGAGATGCCACTAAGTCCGAGTCAGAGCCTGATTTCTTCTCACCCAGCGTGGATGGCGATGGGAACAGGAAGAAGCACTTGGCCTGTGAGTACCTATCCTGGGGTTGCAGCCCCTGGCCTCAGGACAGCCCTGAATGGACTCAGGCTCTCTCCCTCTGTCGTTCTGCAGTGGTGTCCCTAGGAGAGCACCCGGAGCTGCGGAAGAGCCTGCTACCACCTCTCATCATCCACACAGCTGCCACACCCATGTCGTTGCCCAAGAGCTCCAGCACCGGCCCTGGAGAGGCCCTGGGCTCTAGTTCCCGCTGTACTAGCAGCAGTGGGTCTGCTGAGCCTGGGGCAGTCCATGAGATGAAGTCACCGGTAGGAGATGCTCATGGGTATCCATGGTGGGAGAAGTAGAGAGAGGGAGGAAGAGGGATGGAGGTCCATGAGCCCAAAGACACAGCCCTAGGCAGGCCTGGCAGTGCAGACAAATGAAAGAGCTTTAGCCTTGGTAGTGAAAGAGGAGGACCCTTATGCTTTCTTCTGTCCCCTCACTGGGTGACCTTGGACAAGACTTCTCAGAGTCTCTTCTGAAAAAATGGGGTTTGGACCCCTCTCTTCTCACACATTACCACATTAGTAGAACTCTCCTCTAGTTTCTGAGTCTGTGGCAGACACTACTAGACACATATGCTATTGTGTGAGTGTGTGTGTGTATGTATGTGCTCACATTTGTGCTAGTACTGGGGCTTGAACTCAGGGTCTAGGTGCTGTCTCTTAAACTTTTTTGCTCAAGGCTGATACTCTGCCACTTGAGCCATAGCTCCATTTCCAGCTTTTTTGGTAGTTAATTGGAGATGAAAATCTTATGTATTTTTCTGCTGAAGCCGGTTTTGAACTGAGATCCTCAAATCTCAGCCTCTTGAGTAGCTAGGATTTATAGGTATGAGCCACTGGTGTAGGACCTAGGGTTTGAACTCAGGGCCTGGGCACTGTCCCTGAGGTTTTGTACTCAAGGCTAGCATTTTACTACTTGAGCCATGATTCCACTTCCAGCTTTTATAGTGGTTAAATGAAGGTTTATGAGTCTCATGGACTTTACTGCCCAGGCTGGCTTCAAGCCACAATTCTTAGATCTCAGCCTCCTGAGTATCTAGGTTTATAGGCATTAGCCACCAGCACTCATCTAATACTTTTAATTGACAAATAATTGTATGTATTTGTAGAGTAAAATGTGATGCTTTGAATTTTTATACATTATAGAATGGTTAAATCAAGCTAATTATCTTACCTCACATACATTTTTGTTGTTGGTGGTGGTGGTAGTGGGGCTTGAACTCTGGGCCTGGACGCTGTCCCTCAGCTCAAGGCTAACGCTCTACCACTTGAGCTACTTCTGGTTTTCTGGTGATTTATTGGATATAAGAGTCTCATGGACTTTCCTGCTCAGGCTGGCTTTGAACTGCAATCCTCAGATCTCAGCCTCCTGAGTAATTAGGATTACAGGCATGAGTCACCGGCACCCAGCCTCCCATACATTTTTGAGTTATAAACATTGAAAATCTACTCTTAGCAATTCTGCAAAATACACTATGACATCATTAACTGAGCTATGCAATAAATCACAAAATTTTATTCTCTCTTTTTTTTTTAAATTCTACCATACTGGGGGCTTGAACTGAGGGTCTCATGTCTTGCTTCCTTTTTTTTTTTTTTTTTGCTCAGGGCTAGCCTTCTACCATTTAAGCCATACCACTGTTTCTAGCTTCCTGCTGGTTAATTGGATATAAGAATCTAATTGACTTTTTTGCTGGGACTGGCTTCAAACTAGAATCCTTACATCTTAACCTCCTGAGTTGCCAGGATTACAGGCCTGGGCCATAATAAGTGCTGGTTATTCCTCCTTTCTTTCTTTTTTTTTTTTTTAATATTTTTATTGTAAAGATAATTTTATTGTAAAAATACTTACATGAGTAAGGTCATGGGTGCATTTCCTATCAAGCATTGTTACCCCCTCCTTTGTTTTTCCCTTACCATCCCTTCCCTCTCCACCTCCCCAATTATTCCTCCTTTCTAATGGAAACTTTGTATCTTTGACCAACATTTTCTCATTCCTATCTGTAAACCATATTTTGCTATCTATTGCTATGAGGTTAACTTTCTTAGAGTCTACAAGTGAGATCATGCACTATTAGTCTTCCTGTGCTGGCTTGTTTCGCTTAGTGTAATGTCCTCCAGAGTTATCCATGTTATTACAAATAAGAGAATTTCCTCCTTTTTAAAGGCTGAATAGTGTTCCACTAAATAAATGAGTTATATACACTTTTTTAACCCATTTATTGATTGATAGTCTTTATGTTGGCCATTACGGACAGGGTTGCAGTGACCATAGGACAGATGTACTGAGTTCAAATACTTCTGATATATATCCAGTAATGAAATTGCTAGATTATGCCGTAGTCCTATTTTTAGTTGTTTGGGAACCTTCATACTGTTTTTCATAATGACTGTACTAACTTATACTCCTACCAACAGTGTGCAAGGCTTCCCTCTCCCCATATCCATCTTGATAGCCATTCTAACATGTGGGAGGTGCTGGCTCATTATGCTTTTAATTTACATTTCACTGGTGATCAGTGATGTTGATTTTTTTTTTCATATATCCCTGTTGGCTGTGTGCCTTCTTCTAAGGAATGTCTATTCAGGTCCTCTGCTACTTTTTTGTTTTGTTTTTGTGTTGGTTCTGGGGCTTGAACTCAGGGCCTGGACACCATCCCTGAGCTCTTTTGCTCTATGCTAACCGTTCTACCTTTTTGAGTCACAGCTCTAGTTCTAGCTTTTTGCTGGCTAATTGGAGATAAGAGTCTCATAGACTTTCCTGTCTGGGCTGGCTTCAAACAGTGATCCTCAGATCTTAGCCTCCTGAGAGGCTGAAATTCCAGGCAGAAGCTACTGATACCTAGTCCTTGTGCCCACTTTTTAATGGCATTGTCTTCTTGCTTGACTTGTTTGAGTTTCTTCTCATGGTTATTTTACCTTACCTATCACCAACAATGATAAGTAAATGAAGAACAAGGGCTATTTCCATATCTCCCTTACAGATGAAGAAACAGGCACAGAGCAGTTTAATAACTTGCCTCAGGTCACACAGCTGAATGGGTGAGCCCAGATCTGAACCCTGGCTTGGAGTCCAGGTCTCTTGTTCACTCCCAGTGTCATGCCCATGAAGCTTACCAGAGAGGATAGAGCTCTGTAGCCCTGAATGAAACCACTCCTCCTTTTTTCCTCCCCTCAGCCCAGTGCCCGCAGCTCCCCACATAGCCCTTGGAGTGCAGCAAGCAGCTGGACCAGCAGGCGCTCCAGCCGGAACAGCCTGGGACGTGCCCCAAGCCTGAAGCGAAGGAGTCCTAGTGGGGAGAGAAGGTCCCTGTTGTCAGGTGAGGGCCAGGAGAGCCAGGATGAGGATGAGAGCTCAGAAGAAGAGCGGGCCAGCCCAGCAGGCAGTGACCGGCGCCATCGAGGCTCCCTGGAGCGTGAAGCCAAGAGCTCCTTCGACCTGCCCGACACACTGCAGGTGCCCGGGCTGCACCGCACAGCCAGTGGCCGCAGCTCTGCCTCTGAGCACCAGGACTGCAATGGCAAGTCAGCTTCGGGGCGCCTGGCCCAGGCCCTGCGGCCCGATGACCCACCGCTAGATGGGGACGATGCGGATGATGAGGGCAATCTGGTGAGTCCCTCGTGGACATAGTGACCCTTCACTGATGACCTCAAGACAGGGCAACTGTACCCAGTGGGCAGTGTGTCACGGCGATGTCCCGCCTGGAAGCTGACCTCCAAACGGGCCCCTTTTCCCCTCTGCTATCCTGCAGAGCCCTGGGTCTCTGTCATGCCTGGGGCTGCGGCCCTGCTGTCTTTGGTGGATATGAATGGCTTCAGGCAGATGTGTATGAATCTTTCATGGCCCTCCCCCTGTGACTCAGAAAGACCCATCACTCATCTCTCTAAACTGATGTCCTTCTCCTGTCCCCTTTTCTCATCTGGACCTCATCACAAGCCTTGACTTCTAGCCTGTCCTAACCCCTCCACCCCTCCCCCAGCTTCCTCACGCTTGCCCCCTCCCCCCTCCTGCCCTTTACTCTGGGGATGGATGCAGGGATCCAGCATGCAGGGTTAACATGTGAGGAGAAGGATCAGTCTCCTCGGTCCAGGTGTGTCTTTGAGCAGACAGCTGTGATGAGTACAATGTTTGATAATTGATGCAGCTTTCAAGCCCAGCAGGGAGGGAAGGAAGGAGGAGGGCAGGAGGGAGGATGTGGGGGTGGACTGGGATGGAGGCAGGGATGGGAAGAGCAGAAAGCTTCTGTTGAGGGAGGTAGAGGGGTAGAGGGGGAGATGAAGCAGGGAGTTAATGGTGATGTTCAAGAAGAGACAAGGGCTTAGAGGGAGATGGGAAGTGGTTTCAGGAAGAAAGAAAGGTATAGCAGAGGGCTGGGCTAGAGGTAGGAGAGGCAGAGACCAGATCAAGGGTCTGGTGCTGTCCAGGAGTCAAGATGGGTTGCGGGGGAGGGGGTGGTCTCAGCGGCTTCGGTTCTGCTCAGGTCCCAGTGTTCTTTCCACAGAGCAAAGGGGAACGGATCCGAGCCTGGATCCGAGCCAGGCTCCCTGCCTGCTGCCGTGAGCGAGACTCCTGGTCTGCCTACATCTTCCCTCCTCAGTCGAGGTAGGTTGGGGCTCTAACCTATGCAGTGCAGTGCTGTCCTTCTGTGGGGATGTAGGGTCCTTCAGGGGGTGGGATCTGCCAGCGATGCCTCTCAATCTTTGCCTCTGTCCTGGAATAGATTCCGCCTCCTTTGTCACCGGATTATTACCCACAAGATGTTTGACCATGTGGTCCTCGTCATCATCTTCCTCAACTGTATCACCATTGCCATGGAGCGCCCCAAAATTGACCCCCACAGTGCTGTGAGTCACTGGGACTGTAAACATGGCTGTTGAGTCCTCCTAGGTATCGGGCCTGTCCTGGGTCAGTGTTTAGAACAAGCAAGAGAAGCCGGAAGGCCGGAGAGTCACACATCACAGCCTGTCCAAGGTCACACATCACAGACAGGAGTCCGGATCCTCCCTTGGGTCTCTTGGACTCTGACTCTTGCTCCTGGACCCCCAAAATAACCTTCTGGATCCTCTCCTGCCTCAGTTTCCCTCTGTGGGCACACCAGCACAGCCAGGTGCTCTGCCACAGCACAGGCTCTGTTCTCTGTGCCAAAGGCTTACAAGGCACATGGGTGTGAGCCCTGTGAGAGGGTGATGTACACGAGACTGGTCCTGCATAGGTTGTACCTGGCCTAGGGTCTTGTTTTCACTGTGATTGACATATTGTGAGGGACATGTCACCCAGCCTTCTCTGTAGATGACAAGGAAGCCATTCTTTCCTCCTTATGGTCCTGTCAGGTCCCAAACAGGTCAGTTTTCTGGGCTGTAGTTGAGGGATGTTATTCATTTATGCTTGGCTAGGAACCTGTCGGTTTTCTGGAGGCCAAAAGAGGCCAGAGACATAACTACTGGCTGTCCTGACTAGGCGCCTCTTCTCTTTGGGATGAGCACATCCCATTTTGGGAGCTGTCTTTCCCAGACTGGCATCACAGCCTCTCCCTACCTTGAGCAGTTCAGATCCTAGAAGGGCATAAGACAGTCTGTTTCTCCTCTCAGCATCTTATACAAGTAAGTGGTATGGCCAGAGGTGCCCCCCCCCCTCCTGCCCCGCCGTCTTCCTCGTCCCTCCTCGCTGCCTCCCACATCATTGTTTGGATTTCAATGCTGCTGGGGCTTCTGTTTCCCATTAGGGTGGGCTCCAGCCAGGCCAGGGTGGGGGATGGAGGAGCCTGAGGAATGGAGAGGCCAGCCTAGCACTCAATGGGTGAGCAGTGCTCTGACTGGGGTGATGACATCCCCCCCTCCTGACTTGTCCCTGTGTAGGCCCTGTCACTACCTCCCCCTTGAATCTATCTCCAGTTCCCATTGTTCCTGCTTTTCCCTCCTTCCCTTTCTCTGTTCCCCACTCTCAGGCTTATGTTTCTAGCTGTGGCTCAGGCTCTCTACATCCCTCTCTTTGCCACTAGGGCTGACCTCAGCCCATAGACACCAGAATACACCAGAATGCCTGGCAGAAATGCAGTGTCTGTGGAGTCTGAACCCAGGCCCCTCGCTTGTCTGCTGCTCTATTTCTGGGGCACACAGCAGGAAAGCAAAGCTGTAAGGAGGGTAGGATGGCGGGCAGGAGTCAGAGATCAAGTTAAATCCTGCTCTAGTTTCAAGAAAGGAATCAGGGAATCGGGCCTGGAATTTAAGACTTGGATAGCAGCACTGCGGTGCAGAATATGTCCCATCTGAACACGGGTTTGGGGGTGGAGGGTTCTGTTCAGGAATCGCGACAAGACTGTTCATGGAGCTGTAAAGTGAGACTGGGAGCTGGCACTGATGAGAGAGAGAGAGCGCACTTTTTGAGGTTATGTGCATTGTTAGGGAGGGTGGGGGTCATCTTCGTGCTTTAAATGTTCAAAGCAGCTTTGGGCTTCTGTATGCAGACCTAATCTGGCTGGTGGATGGGGCCTCCTGGTGGGCAACACCTGCCTCTTCTCTCTTGCAGGAGCGCATCTTCCTGACCCTCTCCAACTACATCTTCACTGCAGTCTTTCTGGCTGAAATGACAGTAAAGGTGATGGGGGTTGGCTGCTAGTTTGGGTTCTCTGGTTTCCGATGAGCATGGGAACAGTGGTTGGAGCTGAAGGAGGAGGGATGGATTGGGGACAGCAGGAAAGATGAGCGGTGACATGGCGGTGGTCTCCAGGTGGTGGCTCTGGGCTGGTGCTTCGGGGAGCAGGCGTACCTGCGCAGCAGCTGGAATGTGCTGGACGGGCTGCTGGTGCTCATCTCAGTCATCGACATCCTGGTGTCCATGGTCTCCGACAGTGGTACCAAGATCCTGGGCATGCTGAGGGTGCTGCGGCTGCTGCGGACCCTGCGCCCGCTCAGGTGCCCCCTCCCTGGAAGTTCCACACAACCCCTTCCCTCACAATATATATCCCTTGAGGATACCTGTCAGGACCCAATCCTTCATGTGTCCGGCCTCCTGTCTGGGACCCCGCTCCAGACAACATTCCGATCATAACGCTCCAGAACATCCCCTCCCGCTTCCTTACTGGGTGTCTCTCCAGCGTGGCACGCTCATCAGGGCAATCAGTCCTGTTAAGGCAGGGCCTTCATGGCCGCCAAGGAGATCCAAAGCTCTCCCTTAGGGGGCCCTAGGGCGTGATGCTTGGCCCTTCCTGTGAGCTGACACATGCTCTTGCTGGCTGACCCACCTTCGGCATCTGTCAGAGTCCACCCCCGGAGCAGCAGTGCTCCTGACAGCTGATGTGCCCTCCAGCCGGGCAGCCGGGCAGTCATTCCTTGCCCCCCACTCAGGAGACTTTAGGGTGTCTTCCTGCATAGGGAACAATACTGACTTAACAGTGAGACTTCTCTGGCTGTGATACCCATATTCCCCCACCTTCCCTCTTCCTCCCCACACCTGCTCCCCACATCACACAGGCATCCCCAGGGAAAGCCTCCCTGAGTCACCTCCACTCAGGGAACATTTGACATCCTGGAGGTGGAGCTGGGGAAGGTGGGAGCTGAGAGTTTGTGCCACCTGTTTGGAGAGATTACAGATGGGGGTCCTCATGGAAGGGGCGGGGATTCCATGAAAAGAGGACTCTGTTCTGTACAGCGAGCTCAGAAAGTAGAGCAGATGAAGGGACCATGAGCCGAGTCAGAAGGAAGTCAGAGTCCTAACAGGGCAAAGAAGAGGGAGTCTGAGCTAGAGAGCCCCTCTCACCCTTCCTCCCTGTGCTCTCCAGGGTAATCAGCCGGGCCCAGGGGCTGAAGCTGGTGGTGGAGACACTGATGTCCTCCCTGAAGCCCATCGGCAACATTGTGGTCATCTGTTGTGCCTTTTTCATCATTTTTGGCATCCTGGGGGTTCAGGTATGCTGGGTCCAAGGGTTTGTCTATGAAAGCCTCAAGTATACACCTCCTCTTGTCCCCCAAGCCAGGCCGCTGCCTGAATCCTTCCCTCCAGGAGCTAGGCCCCAGATCCATTTATCTCTTACTGGGAAAGGAGAGGAGGATTTCCAAAGGAGGCTTGGCCTCAGAGAAACTTCAGGCCCATGGTAGCTGCAGACTCCAGTCTCCTACCCCACCCCCACCCCCGCCCCTTGCTCTCCCTCACACAGGCACACACTGGCCCCAAGTCTACTCGGGGATCTCCCTTCTTTCCCTGCTTGAGCAAGGCGGGCTGTATGCCAGGTCTGGGGATCCAAGGCCCAGACAGCTGGGCCAGGTTAGTGGAGCGCTGGCAGGCAGACGGGTGCAGACCCCAGACGAGGCAGGAAGTGGGGGCTGCTGGGGAAATCTGGCTTCTCGCCCAGAGAGGAAACTTGACTTTAGAGGAAAAAGAGCCAGAGCTGCCTGCACGATTCAGCAGATGCCTTGGGGGACTGGGAAACACCCCCACCACCAACACACACACACATACACACACACACACACACACACACACACACACACACACACACACACACACACACACACTCTCCATCTTCTAGTGTCCCTGCTCCAGCTGCAGGGTAGTCAGTTGGCTGTTGAGACAGTGTGGGAACTTCTGGGTGGCTACCTCTGGCTTCCTCTGATGCCCACTGTGCCCTGGGGAGGGGCTGTTCCTTGGTTTCCTAGAAACTCTCTAGCCCCAAGGACCGGACTGCATTTGCCAAAGCTCCACAGAGCCTTTCTGCCAGGCCTGCACCCCACACATCCCAGTGCCCGCCCTCTTTCCCACTTCCCGGCCTCCTTGGCTTAGGGGGAGTGTACCATTGTTGAGCCCAGTCCTGAGGTTCTTTTAGTGAGTTTTGATTTGTCCCTAGCAGCTCGCTCCAGGCTCCTGGTCCTTCCTTCAACATCCCTCCACACACCCCAGTAATCATGCCTGGGTGTACCCTGGTATGAGAGTGAGCTTTCCAGACCGACCCACATTCCAGCCCTTTTCTGTCAGCTACTGAGTATGCCACCTTTAAAACTCAGTTTTTCTCCTCTGTGGGGTAGGGCTGAACACTCTCTCCCTATCATACTTGTGAGAGTGAAACACCTAGCCCAGTAATCCTCTAACTTGAGCATGTGTCAGGATCACCGGGGCGGCTGGTAAAGGGTCAGGCCCACTCATTAGATCTGGGGTGAGCCTGAGAAGGAACACTTCACAAGGACCTGTACCACTAATCAGAGCACCATGAACTTAGCTCTCCCCACCCCCTTCTTCCCCATCCTCCCTCCCTCTCTAGGAAGGCCCCCATCAGAGACACTGACTTGATGGGCCAGTGCATGCCCCACAGGGCATGCTCAGAGTTCTTAGGCCCAGAGCTGGGATGGGGCTAGGCTAGAGGTCTTGTGTTCCCTGGCCATCTCTCACTCTGTCTCTGCCATGCGTGTCTAGCTCTTCAAAGGGAAGTTCTTCGTGTGCCAGGGTGAAGACACTAGGAATATTACCAACAAGTCTGACTGTACTGAGGCCAGCTACCGGTGGGTTCGACACAAGTACAACTTTGACAATCTTGGCCAGGTGAGCCCCAACCTCCAGGGATAGGGAGTGGGGAGTAGCAGGAGTCTGTGCTCCATGCTGATTCCTGTGGGAGAAGACACAGAGATTGGCCCTCCGCTACCTTAACTACCATCATGTTCCAAAGCTAGTCCATCTGCACAGCTCAGCATGTAGGCCCCTGAAAGTTTCCAGCCCTCTTAAAGATGAGGAAATAAAAGCTCAGATAGGGTAAGCAACTGGCTCAGGGCCACAGTGCTACATGGCAGAGCACAAAGCACTCAGGCCAGGGAGTCCTGTGTGTGGATCTTACCACTGTTGTTGTCAGTTCAGTGGCTCTGAACAACTGACCTGCCAGCACTTCAGTTTCATTGGCTGGTGGATGGAGACATAATAGTATCTTCTTGGGGCTCCTGGTAAAGCTTCAACATGGTAATATGAATATCTGATCAAAATGGTTAGGATGCAGCCAGGCACTGGTGGCTCCTGCTTGTAAGCATAGCTAATCAGGAGGCTAAGATCTAAGGAGCATGGTGTGAAGCCAGCCAAGGCAGAAAAGTCTGTGAGATTCTTATCTCTAATAAACTACTCAAAAAAAAGCCAGAAGTGGCACTGTAACTCTAGCAAAAGAAGCTCAAGGACAGCACCCAAGCCCTGAGTTCAAGCCCCAGGACCAGCAAAAAATAAAAAATAGCTGAGTGTCTATGGCTCACACCTATAATACTAACTACACAGGAGGCTGAGATCTGAGGATCCCAGTTTAAAGCCAGCCCAAGCAGGAAACTCCATGAGACTCTTATATCCAATAAACCACTCAGAAAACTGGCAGTGGTGCTGTGGCTCAAGTGATAGGGTGCTAGCCTTGAGATGAAGAGCTGAGGGACAACACCCAAGCCCAGAGTTCAAGCCCCACAACCAACAAAATAAATAAATAATAAAGATCAGGGTGCATTTTGTGTGTGTGTGTGTGTGTGTGTGTGTGTGTGTGTGTGTATGAGAAAGAGAAAGAGAGAATGCATGCATGCATGCATGCATACGTGTATGTGTGCTAGTACTAGGGCTTGAATTTAGGGACTTGTGCTCTTGCTCAGTTTTTTCTGCTCACAACCGATGCTCTTCCACTTGAGCCACACCTCCAGTTTTCCCTTTTTGCTGGTTAATTGCAGGTAAGAGTCTTTGATTCGTCTGCCTGGGTGGATTTAAAACCTCAAAACTCAGATCTCTGTCTCCTGAATAGTTAGGATTACAGTCATGAGGCACCAACACTAGGCTTGGGTACATTTTGTCAAAAGGATTCCTTTCTGCTCCTTGTTTGCAGAAACAGAACTGCAGAAAATGAAGTAGCTCAATCAGTTGTGCTGGTTTGCTTCCCAGACCCCACTGGTTTGGTTCCCAGACTCCACTGGTTTGGTTTCTGGATTCCCAGGGCTCTGGGCTCCCTTTCCCTAACTTGACTGAGATTGGGGGCTTCAAAGCAACATGGCACCATGGAATAGAGTGCACTCCTGGGTCCAGAATGCAGTCTCCAAGGGCTGGGAACCAAGGCTGCTGCCAGTGGTGCTTTGGTGGCACGTTCTAGACTTTAAATGGTGTGTCTCCCTTGCCCCTCTCCCCAGGCTCTAATGTCGCTGTTTGTGCTGGCCTCCAAAGATGGTTGGGTGGACATCATGTATGATGGGCTTGATGCTGTGGGCGTGGACCAGCAGGTAAGGCTGAGATGGGCAAGGCCTATCTCTGGGCTCAGATGACTCAGCCTGAGCTGGTGCCTGGCATAATGATGCTATAGGCACTAGACAGAAAGAGCAACACACTATCAAAAGGGTATCACATCTTGGCCTATGGACCTGCAGCACGTATAAAAATTGTTTGCATAAAGCCGGGCGCTGGTGGCTCACGCCTGTAATCCTAGCTACTCAGGAGGCTGAGATCTGAGGATCACGGTTCAAAGCCAGCCCGGGCAGGAGAGACCGTGAGACTCCTATCTCCAATAAAAAACCACCAGAAAACCGGAAGTGGCACTGTAGCTCAAGTGGTAGAGCACTCGCCTTGAGCTGAAGAGCTGAGGGACAGCGCCCAGGCCCAGAGTTCAAGCCCCATGACCGACAAAAAAAAAAAAAATTGTTTGCATAGTAGTCAACATTTAAAAACTGGTAAATTTGACATAAAAATCCAGATTAGGGGCTACTTACAAGGAAATCCAAAGGTCTGGAATACTGGGCTTATATTCTGTCAGGGCAGGAGAAGATGCTAGAATGTTCAGCTAGAACAAAGAAGCAGCCAGGCATTGGTGGCTCATGATGAGCTAGTCAGGACGCTGAGATCTGAGGATCGCGGTTCAAAGCTAGCTTGGATAGGAAAATCCATGAGACTCTTATCTCCAATTAACCACTAGAAAACTAGAAGTGGCACTGTGGCGCAAAGTGCTAGAGCCCTAGCCTTGAGTGAAAAAACTCTTGGACAGCACCGAGGCCCTAAGTTCAAGCCCCAGGAAAGACCCCCCCAAAAAAAGTAGTTTTTCCTTTGCTACAGTCTCCTCTCCTCCCCACTACCTACTGCCAAACCCACGCCACCCATTCACCTGTCAGGTCCTCTGGAATTTGCAGAAGCCCAGCCCACATGGACAGCACCTGAGACAGTTCCCCCCTACGGCTAATGTCTCCTTCACCTGTCCTTCCTGCTCCCTACCAGCCCATCATGAACCATAACCCCTGGATGCTTCTGTACTTCATCTCGTTCCTGCTCATCGTGGCCTTCTTTGTCCTGAACATGTTTGTGGGTGTGGTGGTGGAGAATTTCCACAAGTGCCGGCAGCACCAAGAGGAGGAGGAGGCAAGGCGGCGGGAGGAGAAGCGGCTGCGGAGACTGGAGAAAAAGAGAAGGAGTAAGGAGAAGCAGATGGCCGGTCGGTAGTCTTTCCACATCTCTCTGGGTCGTGCTTGACCTTGGCCTTGCCATTGCAGAGGGCAAGGGGCTGGGGCTGGGGTAGGGGAGTACTACTCCCACCCCCTCCCTCATCTCCTTCCCCCCAACAGCATGTCTGCCTCTAGAGCCCGCATGAAGCAGACCAGGTCAGCCCCAGGAGGGAGCAAGCTGCCCCCCCAGGGGGTTCCCTGGGTCCCAGCCTCATATTCCCCAGAAGATGCCAGGTTGGAGTAGATGCTTGGCTCTAAGCTCGACTCTCAGAGGAGCCTCAGGAATGAGAACCGAACCTGACACTCTATTGCCCTGTGCCTGTATCCAGTGACCCAAGGATTGGCCCTGGTGTCAGGCCTGCTTGTTCAGAGTTGCAGGGCATGCATCCTGACCCCCTGGGCCTGCCCTGTGTCTAGCTGCTGAGCCAGAGCTTGGCAAAACCTACAAAAAGCAGCATTGGAGAGAAACCTTCAGGCCTACCCTCCATCATTCCATTCAAATGACCTAGCCTCCTGATCGTTGGGGGGATTTGTTTTTGGCCACTTTCCCTCCTCCTCCCCCCACAAAATCTCCCCCTGGCTCAGGGAAAATCCAAGGTCACCAGGACTCTAAATGCATGGATATCTGGCCTCAGGCCCTCTAGCCCTTCCCCTGTGCTCCCAGCCTCTCTTACCTGGGGAAGGTGAGGCCCCGTACCTTTCCTCCTCCTGCTGTTATGCCATGGGCAGACTGAGACTAGGTGAAAAAGACACCCACGGAGTCTGGGAAGGATCGAGAGCAGCGGCTGCGTGAGCCGCTTTGTCTGTGGTATGTGTGCAGGTGCGCGCACACCTGGCTTTCTTCTTCAGGGTTCCCATCTGTCTGGTTCTCCATAATCTCCATGCCTCTCTCTCTCTCTCTCTCTCTCTCTTCCCGTCAGCCCACGTCCTTCCACGTGTCTTTCTGTGTGGGTTTCCAAGTCTTTGTGTGTCTCTTCCTGTTTTGGTCTGTGGGTTTCCCTCTCTCCACCCTCTCACACACCGGCTGCCTTCTGCTGATAAGATGTATGCAGTACTCTGGGTTTCCCTTTGGTGTGTGGAAATGTGAGTACCACCAAATGAGTTGCGGGGCTGTGGTACCCCTGCAGCCCTCTGCCCTCACTGCATCTCCTGCCGCCTACGGCAGGCACGTGGAAGAGGGGATGAGTATGGGAGTCAAAAGTAACGATGAGGAGGAAAGGACCGTGCTCTCTGTGAGAGGGGGGTGCTCCAGGAGGACGTGGAAGGGACACTTGCCTCTGGGTAGCCGTGGATAGTGTGCTTCCTCATGTCTCCCATCCATCCACCAGTCCCACAAGGCCCCCTGCCCAACTCCATGCTGGGGTCTGGGCTCTTCTTCCCTGTAGAGTCTGAGGCTGAGCAGGTGCATTATCCCAGCACCACGCTCCCACCCCTGCTCCATCAACCCCACACACCTTGCAGTGGGTCACTTCGGCAGGGCCATCTGCAGATGGAATATTTTTTGGCAGGAGGTACTTGTGGCCCCTGCCTGGCCAGCTGGCTCTCCTTCTGGGGTCTACAGCTGAGGCTGCCTGTCCCTCTCAAAGCCTCCATGACCCCAGTAAACTGGCTGCTTTACTTGTCTTCTTCCAGCCATCCATGTGCTCAGTACACCCCATTCGTAGTCAGAATGAGGGTCGGAGCTGAGGGGGAGCGAGCTGCTGAGGGGCCCTGCCCAGCACACCTGGTCCAGCCAATGACCGATATCATGTTTCGTTCTTTTAGATCTAATGTTGGACGATGTAATTGCTCCCGGCAGCTCAGCCAGCGCTGCTTCAGGTACTGAGTCTGGGGTGTGGGTTCATGCCTGTGGGGACCTGCTCTTTGCTCCCTCTCCATGGCTCATTGATTCTATCCTCTGGGGTGAAGGGCTGAGGGCCCCTGGGGCTCCCAAGAGAGCAGGACCTGAAGCGCTGGGTCCATGTTTTCCCATAGGCTGGATGGAGATGAGACACTCTGACACCTCTTGGATGATGCCTAACCTCAGTAGAGGTCCCAGGCCTTGCTCCCTGGCCTCCATGGCCCTCCTCCCTAGTCTCATGGTTGGATTATTAGAACTGCAACTCTCCCTGCCTCCTTTTGTCTGAAAGGGAGACTTTGATCCAACGGAGCAGGCTGACAGGAACAGAGAGGGGAAGGATTTGTTTTAAAAATGTAACGATAAATAATTGAACGGGCTCATTAATAGTCAAGTAATCAGGATAGCCACGTCATTGCTACAAACAGCAAGAATTGGGAGTCAGAGGCCTGAGTTAGCCACAAGCTTCCTTCCCCCCCCCCACCTCAACCCCCCCAAAAAATGGTTTTGAGAATGAGTTGTGTCCTTATCTCTAAAAGCTGTGTCTCTGGGAAGGCTTCCTGGTGCCTCCTGCCCCACCTCACACCCTCCATATCTCCCTCAGTCCCTTGGTCCCACCATATCGGTCCCCAGATGGAGGTTCAGAGAATCAGAGTCTGTGACAGGTCTGTAGGTCTTGTCACATTCCCTGATGTCTCTGCCTGGTGGTTCCCAAGCTGTTTATCCCCAGGATCTCCCTTATGGTCTCTTCCAACAAATCCCACATTTTGAAAGACTCTTGTCTGAAGTTTGAGCACTTTAATAATGGCTTTATTTCACCATTTTTTACTAATCCACGGCCCATGTAATTGCAAATCAGAGCTTCTGTGCCGCAGAAGGCCGCATACTGAATGATGTAAAGAAAGACCGGTTGGCTATTATTATCAGTCTGTGGGGTCTTCACATAGGCAAGTGTGTAATTTCTTTTAAACTTTTAGGAATATTACAAAGAATCAAAGGACCCCCGTATGGCCTCCTTTTTAGGCTGCTCAGGGCCTGGGACTTCAGTCTGGGGACTGCTGATTGTACCATTCTCCACTCTTTCCCACTGCCTGATACAGGCAGAGGCCACCGTGGGTGTGCTGGGCTGCCTGGTCTGTGGAGGCTCAGGGACCAGCTCAAGAGGAGATTCAGCCCTTGGCAAATCTCTATCTCCTGACTCTGTGGCATTGAGCTATGGTGTGTGGCATTGTGACCATCTGTCTGTGGGCACAGGAGTCTCTGTCTGGGCTAGACCCTGGATTACCGAGGTCCCCATATCTCTGCCAGGCTGTTTTTTTTTTTTTTTTTTTTTTTATTTTTTTATTGTAAAGCTACTATACAGAGGGTTACAGTTACATGAGTGAGGTTATGAGTACACTTCCTCTTGAACATTGTTACCCCCTCCATTGTTTTCCCCCTACCATCCCCTCCCTCCCTCCCTTCCCCGAGGTTCTTTTTTTTTTTTTTTGATTGTGATTAAATGATTACATAATTTCAAAGTCACAAGTTCATTCTAACTTCCCTGGAGCAAATTGTCTACCACAGTCTGTAATATATAACAGTGTTCACATGTTATATACCATATTTGTGATCAGCAGCATGAGGATATTTAGTAGTGGTTCAACCAGATGAGCGGGAGTTCTTTGTTTCTTAAGTCCTGTTAGTTTTGTCGTATCACTAACCTTTTGGATTTAGCATCCACTTATGAGGGAGACCATGTACCGTTTGTCTCTTCGTTCTTGGCTTACCTCGCTCAACATGATTCCTTCTAGCTCCATCCATTTCCCTGCAAATGCCATTATTTTGTCATTTCTAATTCTGCCAGGCTGTTTTGCAAATCCTAGAAGCATCAGGGGATGAAAGAAAAGCGACAGGAAATGGGCCTTCAGCTTTTCCTTTGTGGGTCCCTGTAGACTGTAGACTACAGTGTTTTACATACTTATGTGTACCCCCAGTACAGAACTGTCCCGTTGAGGCTTCTGAAGCTCAGATGAACCAACACACACAGGCTCTCCTAGTCCACAAGATGTAGCATTGTTCCATGGCAAACACTCTGGTTATTCTCACTTTGTTACCCCATTCTGAATTCTAGCCTGTTCCTATTGACACATGCATTATTTTTCCTGGCTATTAGTAAAGACTGAGACCCTGCTGGGTGCTAGTGGTTCATGCTTGTAATCCTAGCTACTCAAGAGGCTGAGATCTGAGAATCACAGCTCAAAGCCATCCCTGACAGGAAAGTTTGTGAGACTCTTATCTCTTAACCACCAGAAACCTGGAAGTGGAGCTGTAGTTCAAATTGTAGAGCATTACCCTTGAACAAAAAAAGGTCAGGAACAGAGTTCAAGCCCCATGACTGAAAAAACCAACTCTAAGAAGGTCTCAGAGTCCCCTATGTCCTTCTTCCCAGGTTCCTAGATTTCTCCAGGGTCTCCATCAGAGCTTTCCAAATTTTGGTATGTCTAAGAATCACTTGGAGAGCGTATTCAGGTTCCTAGGTCTTCTAGAGTGGTCTGGTGTCAGCAATTTTAACTAGTTCTCAGACACTGGTATGCTAATATACTGGTCTGCTTACCAAGAGGAATGGGATGAAACCAAGGGCTGGGATGGAACTGGCGCTGCTAGGAGTTAACCAGTACCAGAGAGTACCAGAAACCCTCCTGGGACCCTACCCTTCCTCCCACCCTGGTGCTGCTCCTAGCAGGAGAGGTTGCCAGACCCAGAGAAGGAGGCAGGGAAGAGTCTGGTTTTCAGGGCAATGGGCCTGACACTTGAGTCTGACCAGAGGGACCAGAGCTGCTGTATGATTAGGCCAATTCTAGGGACACTCGGCCCCCAGCACCAGCTCCTCTCTCCTTAGGCCCTCTGTAGCTTCCACCTCTACTCACCCTCACTCCTCCCACCAGACTGGGACCCATATCAGCTGAAGGTGTGGTCTCTGCCTTGGGGAGTCCACATCCCTGGAACGATTTCTGCTTTCTTGCCTACTCCCTTCCAGGATCCATTTGAAAATCATCAGCCCTGGCCCTGCCTTGGGCTCCCAGTGGCCCCTACTAACTCACCATGCCTGTTGCTGTCACATAACCTTGCACTCCTGTCCTCTGTCCCTAGAACCTGACTTGGGGCCTGGTGCCCTTCTTTCTACTGTTCTTGACTCTGGGTTTTTTGGTGGGAAGAGGGAGATAGGTGTCACAACCCAGGCTGGAAGTTGGAGTCCTGATGGCTAGCTGGTGGCTCAGTGTGGGAGACCACTCATCTGCTGGGCCTCTTTCTCTTCTCTGTATGGCAGAGCAAGCAGCTTGTTCTCAGCCTGGTGATCGTGGACTGAGACTTTATTGGGAGAGTAGGCTCTGTGTGTGTGTGTTAGGGGTGGAGGGGTTGGGGGGGGGGTGGAGGGAATCCAGGTAGTTTTAGTGCCTACTGGTCAGAAGGGAGGGATTTGTAGGGAGGGACACACACAGACACACACACACACACACACAGACACACACACACACACACAGACACACACACACACACACACAGACACACACACACACACACACAGACACACACACACACACACACACACACACACACACACACACACACACACACACACACACACCAGGGCCCGGAATCTGTGGCCATAAAGCAGATGCCCAGCCTCAGTCCTTCCATCCTCTAGGACTCTTAAAGAAATGTCACTGGTTGAGTTCAAGCCCATCCACTACTCAGACTTCTCAAGCAAGGCTGGAAAGCAGAGTTGGTGGTGGCAGCTGCTCCATCTGGCCTGGAGCTTGCCTCCATAGCCTGTCTGGGGAGACAAGGTGGGGGGAGGGTGAACTGTTCCTTTCCGTTCCCTTCCAGCCTCCCCTCTACATTGTCTCAACTAATAATGTGGCTAATAAGGAGCTGCTTTTTCTAACCTAATTGTATTCAAACATTTTAGTTAATTCTCCATTCATATTTTAGCATAATGGGATCGGGTGCTCTCGGCATTTATGGAGATTAATGCAGAGAAAGAGTTCCGGCTGCTAAGGCAACGCAGGGTGACTAGCGCCCTCTGGTTCTCGTGGTACTGAAGGAAGAAAGGAAGGAAGAGACCCGGCTGGCCTGGCCACCCTTCACCATCGGATGTGGATGATCTGTGGTCTCATATTGTCCCCTGCCCTAGGCCACTCTACCCCATGTTCCTAGGGGTTAAGAGGGCCGCCTGAACAAACAGAGCCGCACTTGGCTGGTCCAACTCTGAAAACCAAGCGATAACTTCATGTACCCCTAAGGTGCACCTGAACTTGTTGCGTCTCTTGGCCCTGGTTATCCACACCTCAAGGCCGATGGGGGAGAGGAGCCAGGTGGGCCTGGAGCAGGACAGCCCATGCTGTTCCTGGGCACTCTTCTTCCTTTGGCCTTTGGTGGGGGGCCTACACCAGGCCGCTCCCTGCCTCAGTTTACCTCTCTATTAAGAGGTCCTCTGCATGGGAAAGGGCAATTAAATTTGAGCTGGCCTGGGCCCAAAGCTTCCTGCCGCCCCTGAGCCAGCTGGCTGCTGGCATAGGCCTCAGAGGCTGCAGCCTTTGCTGGCTGGCTTCCGCCAAGACCTCCAGAGAAGGGAAGGCTGTCTGGGACCTGAGGCTGCCCCATGCCTCCCTGTGGGGAGTCTCTTCCCTCTTTGCAGCTGCATGTAAGACCAATCCATTGGCACCCTGTGGATAATACCCTCACCTTGGCCTGGCCCTTCCTCCACACCTGGAGGAGGGCCCCTACAGTCTCCTGCCCCCAGATTTCTTCTGTCTGCTTAGCAGGCTGACCTCTGGCACTGTGATTTTTCTAAGTAGTTGGCTAATTACAAGAGGAACTCTATGCCTGTGACAGATCTCAGACAGTGCTTCCAGCCCAGCTTGTGGTTTCGGGCCATTCCAAAACCCGAGGCAGGCTGGGCACAGCCTCATTAGATACTGGGTGAGTCCAGCAAGGAAGACCCTCCTGGCTTGAGTCTGGGATAGAGCAGAGCCTTGGAGCTCCCCCTCCACCCTCTCCATAGGAGAGTGTGGGAGACCCAGGCTCTGCCACTAGAGGCCCTGTGATGGGTCGGTGCAGCCAGCTGAAATGATTTCCAATTTCCAATCTCCGGTTGTATCCGCAAATCCCAGCTCTGTATAGTCTCCTTGCCACCCCCAGGGGCCGAGCTTGGAAGATACCAGAGCCTTCTTGGCCTCTCTGTCCTAGCTGCCTCTGAGCCCGATTGAATCAGTGTATTTCCTCTTATTGATCTGACCTCACTGCGGAACACTGAGTCAAGGCTGTGATAAGGGGCTGGTGGATTTTAGAGGTTGCCTTGGGGTGTGGGCTCACCTGGTGGCTAATGTAGGTAGGGATCTCTGCATGTCCTGCCCTGACTGTAGCCAGTAGAACAGATGCTTGGAGGGGGACACGGCAAGAGAGCTGTCCCCCCAACGGGCAGTGAGGGGAGCGCTGGGACGCTGATGACACGGAATGTTTCACCTGTAGTGTTAGAGGCTGGTGATGGGGAGGGACAGCGGGTGGAGGGTGCCCAGAGCAGAGGCCCAATGCCTGCTCTGCTCTCCTCCCTGCTCCACCAGAAGCCCAATGCAAGCCCTACTACTCAGACTACTCCCGCTTCCGGCTGCTCGTCCATCACCTGTGCACCAGCCACTACCTGGACCTCTTCATCACCGGTGTCATCGGGTTGAATGTGGTCACTATGGCTATGGAACATTACCAGCAGCCCCAGGTAAGAGTGAGTGAGATGTTACCTGTCTCCTACCTCCAACCATGTCTGTCCATCCCCTCCCTCGCCCTGGGGTGACCCCAACATAGCCTAACCCAGGACATCTCTGTGTCAGGCAAGAATTGCGAACGCTACATGACCCTTCTGGTACCCATGGCAGTAACCTTTGGAGGTAGATACCATCTTTGTTTTTAGAGATGAGGATACTGAGGCTCAGAGAGGTTACCTAACCAGGGAGAGAGCTAGGAAGTAGAGGACTTGCTTTCTCCACCCAGCACATTTTTATTGAGTGTCTAAATGTGCTGGGTTCTGGACTATGGAAGGTAAAGAAGGTAGAGTGGGGGTTGGAGGTGTGGCTCAGTTGGTAGAGCGCCAGCCAATGAGCAAAGCATCATACCGAGTTTGAGTCCCAGTCTCACAAGGACAACAACAAAAGAAGGTAGAGTGATTGTACAGCTCTAAAAGTCCCCTGTGATCTTGCCAGTCATCCTCTCATCTGTACAATGAGGAGGTTGGATTGGTAATGCACATGAACCCTTCCAGACCTAGCATTCCATGCCTTCCAGTACATTTCATCTGTAGTCTTCTCCTTGTTTCTCAAGGAGAAAGAGATCCTTCAGCATAAGATTTGAGTCATTCATATCAGTGAGGAGCCTGGGGTGGTAGCTCACTGTCAGCCATTGAGGGGGGAACAGGATGGAAGGTCCCTTAGCCTCCCTGTCTCCCAGGTGTGTGAGGGATGGTAGAGGAGGAAAGGCAGGCATCAGCCATGGGCTTCAATAATGCTGATGCTTGCCCCCATCCCTGCCAGATCCTGGATGAGGCCCTGAAGATCTGCAATTACATCTTCACTGTCATCTTCGTCTTGGAGTCTGTTTTCAAACTAGTGGCCTTTGGCTTCCGTCGGTTCTTCCAGGACAGGTAACAGGAGAGAGGCTGGGGGTTCTGGGAGTAATAGGGGTGTGTCTTCGGAGAAATAAATACCCTGAAGGATGCTTCTTAACTCTAGTTACGCTTCTTAACTCTAGTTAAGTCCAGCTCCTACCCCAGGGCTGATAGTGCTGGAGGAAGGGAGCTTCATGTATGGGAGAAAATGCAGGACATTTGACCAGACAGGACTTTGGAGGTCACTGGCATTTAGAAATCACTGTATCCCAGCCTGGGGTTTAAAGGCACAGAGCCTGCTTGGACTGGATTTGAATCCTAATTCTCCCACTTTACCTAAGTTACTTAATCTCTCTGTGCCTCAGTTTCCTGATCTGTAAAATGGGAGATATAATAGTATCTGTATTAAACTTGTGTGATTCTCAATTTCTGTTCATAAAACTCTTAAAACAGTGCTCGGTACACCTTAAACACCATATAAGTGCTAAATAAAAAAGCAGATGAGCCAAGTATGGTAGTGCATGTCTATAATATCATCCTTTTGGGGGAGGGAACTAAGCAGAAAGACTGAGAGTTTGACACTAGCCTGGGCTACATAACGAAAAGCAGAGGACTAGAGGTATGGCTCAAGTGGCAGAGTGCCAGCTGTGAGCCAAGTGAACGTACAAGGCTCTGAATTCAAGCCCCAATACCAGCACACACAAAAAAAGAAAAAAGGAAGGAAGGGAGGGAGGAAGGAAGGAAGGAAAGAGAGAAACAGAAAGCAAGCAAGCAAGGAAGGAAGGAAGGAAACAAGCAGAAAGTCTGTGTCCCCAGCTGTGTGGAACTTAGATAAGCCAAGCCTCTTCTATGCAGGATGGGGGCCTGGACCAGGCTGACCTCCCTCTTTCCTAGCTCCATCTTTCTGTGCCACAAAGGCGCCCTTCCCCCACAGTCCCCTTCCCCCACTCAGGGAGCTGTGTCCTGGGCTTTCCAGGTGGAACCAGCTGGACCTGGCCATTGTGCTGCTGTCCATCATGGGCATCACGTTGGAGGAAATCGAGGTCAATGCCTCGCTGCCTATCAACCCCACCATCATCCGTATCATGCGGGTGCTTCGCATTGCCCGAGGTTGGTCCTGTTGTCTGTCCGTATACCTGCCATCTCCCAGTGACCAGCTCACAGGAATATAGCAAGGGTCTGTCTGCTGTGGGCTCCCAACTTCTGCCAAAGGGGAAGTTCAAGGGAAGTTATAGATTGGCTGGCCAGGCTAGCCAGCCTACCAGCCCCAACCCCTTCACAGCCTGGCTTCAGGCCAGGGACCCAGAGGGACCAGCTCATGACGTTGTCCTGTTCCTCAGTGCTGAAGCTGTTGAAGATGGCTGTGGGCATGCGGGCGCTGCTGGATACAGTGATGCAGGCTCTGCCCCAGGTAGCTGGAAGGTGGGGGATGGGAAGGGTCCTCTTGGGAAAGAAGAGATGTCCTCCAAAGGGGGGGAGGGAGCTCAGGGAAGCAGTCTGGGAGCCTCAGTGGCACCTTTTCCATTTCTTTTTCTCTTTTCCAGGTGGGGAACCTGGGACTTCTCTTCATGTTGTTATTTTTCATCTTTGCAGCTCTGGGTGTGGAGCTCTTTGGAGACCTGGGTGAGTTGGGGTTAGGGAGGTTGGAAAGACCCAGGGCTGGGAGACTAAGGGCCTCTGGGACAAACCTGAGCCTCTCTCCCTTTTCCTCCTCCCCTAGAGTGTGACGAGACACACCCTTGTGAGGGCCTGGGCCGGCATGCCACCTTCCGGAACTTTGGCATGGCCTTCCTGACCCTCTTCCGAGTCTCCACAGGTGACAACTGGAACGGCATTATGAAGGTGAGAGGGCTTGGGTGCCAGGGAGGCAGCCCCCGCAGAGAGCCAAGATGCCTCGGGAAAATGAACCCGCCACAAATTAAAGCCTATCTCCTTCTGCCCCCCAAGCCAGAACACGCTGGAACTCCCTCTCCGCAGGGCATCATCTGACTCACACTTCCCCCAGGCAGCCTTTCATTCTTTTCTGCCCCCCAAGACACTGAGATCTCCCTCCTCTCCTTCCTCCTCCTCCTGTCCCATTCTCCTCCCCCCACGCTCTGTGACACCCACGACCTGATTTTCCACGACAGCTCCATCCGCTGTCCTCTCTGTCCAGCTTCATGACTCTGTTCTGCCTCTTCCCTCCCCCAACCGCCCCCCCCCCCCAGGACACCCTGCGGGACTGTGACCAAGAATCTACCTGCTACAACACAGTCATCTCACCCATCTACTTCGTGTCCTTCGTGCTCACGGCCCAGTTCGTGTTGGTGAATGTGGTGATTGCCGTGCTGATGAAACACCTGGAGGAAAGCAACAAAGAGGCCAAGGAGGAAGCTGAGCTGGAGGCCGAGCTGGAGCTGGAGATGAAGACACTCAGTCCACAACCCCACTCACCACTGGGCAGCCCTTTCCTTTGGCCTGGGGTTGAGGGCCCCGACAGCCCCGACAGCCCTAAATCCAGGGCCCCCCATGCAGTGACCCATGCCGGAGCAGCCTCACACTTCTCTCTGGAGCACCCCACGGTGAGCAGCAGCAACCCTGCCAAAGGGGAGAGAGGGGTCTGGGGCAGGAGCAGGGTGGGCCTGACCAGCAGCTCAGTGGGTGGTCGACCAGGAGTGGAGCAGGCCCCGGCTCCTCCTCCATCCTCAAGCCCCTCCCACTTGTATTCTGAGAGGCCCCTCCCCTAAAGATGACTGTCCACACACTCACTCACTGCCCAGGGTCACCATCAGCAAAGAGGCTGGCAGATTGCCAGCTTGTCTACCCCCTCCTCATCCGACCTGGTGTGGCCGCCCTTTTCTGGCTTTTAGGTTCATGGCTAAGTTTTCTGTTTCCTTCCTGTTTCTTTCTTACCCTTGCCTGGTTGCTAATCCTTTCCTACCCACCCTTTCACCTGCCGGATTCCCTGCCATCTTTTTGCCATCCTTTTCTCTTCCTCTCTCCCTCTTCCTCCCATGGGCCCTGCTCATCTTCCCATCTCGCCTCCCTTCTCCCACACCTCCCTCTTCCCTAACTCTCTTTTGCTCTTCTTTGTTGCCGTGTGCGTGCATGTATGTGTGTGCGCATGCCCTCTGGGTCTCACTCTCCACTTTTCTCCCTCTGTACCCCACATCAATCCCCTACCACAACTCTTCTCATCACTATCCCTGTGACCCCCGCCCCCCATCTCCCACCCCCTGGCTCTCCGGCTCCCTTTTTGGGCTGGTCCTCCCAGGACAGACAGCTGTTTGACACCATCTCCCTGCTGATCCAGGGCTCCCTGGAGGGGGAGCTGAAGCTGATGGAAGAGCTGGCATCCCCAGGGGGCCAGCCCTCTGCCTTCCCTTCCGCCCCCAGTCTGGGCGGCTCCGACCCGCAGGTTACTGTGCTCTGTGCTGTGCCCTTCAAGCTGTGCCATGCTGTGCTGTGCTTCTGGGGAGGTTGGGGGGGTTGCCTGCCCACTTAGTATCTGGAGGAAGAGGAGTCACAGGGCCCCAGTTGAACATCAGACTTGGCAGAAAACAGCCAGGGGGTACTCTAGCCCCTACACAGACCTAGATGATAGAGAGGCTGAGATTCCCCTTCCAAGAGGGAAGAACGGTGGGAGGGAAGAGGGGCATAGAGGGATGGGGCAGTGGGACCAAAGTACCAGGTCCAGGCAAAATCAGCCTCTGGGATAGTACAGGTGGCCAGGGGACCCTCAGAGGGGCATATCTTAAGCCATGATTCCCCCCAGCACCCTATCTCCCACCCTCTGTCCTTTGGTGGCTTTGTAAGCCATGGTGCCCATTAGATGTGAGAAGCACATCTGGACCCTTGAAACAAGACATGGCTCTCCACAAGCCCCTCCCCTGGGCCAGCCCCTTCTCATGGCCCTTTACATCTTGATTTCTTGCCTTGCTCTCCTCCCCTTGGGCAGGGATCCCGCCATCTCCCTCCCCATGTCAGAGGCTGCAGATCTGCAGCAAGGCAAGAAGTCAGGCGTCAACCACAGGCCCTGTTGGATAGAGGGGTAGGCAGGCAGGGTCCTAGGAAGCCTTTATAGCCAAGGAAATGGACAGTGAATTTTGCATGGTAGGGGGGCTGTGCCTCTTCTTGGGGTGACTCCAACCTGGTAGGAAGCTAGAGCGAGCAGTGGGAGGGTGAGTCTCTTCCTCAAGCTGCCCACCCTCATTCAAGGAAGCGCACGTCCCCTAGATGGTGGGATAGAACAGGTTGCAAAGGGAAGGTGACCAGTGTATCCCAGACATCCTGTAGACACTGAAGCCCCCCATCCCCCTCCCCCTGCAGATCTGAGGTATGCCCAGATGGTCTGGCAGCCTGAGTTACCCACTTCAGCCTGGCTGGGAGAGCACCTCCCAGGGCCCAAGTTGGAGAAGGGCGGGCAGGCTGCAGGCAGACGGAGGAGGAGGGCCCTCAAGGGGAGAAGCCAGAAAATGGAGGCCCGCCAAGTCCTGCCAGGCTTTTGGAAGCAAAGAGAATAGGCAGAAAACAGCCGTCAGATTGTGGCATTGTCCCCAGTGTCCCCCATCCCCACCCCCACGCTACTCTGTCTGCAGAGAGAAGAGACTGGCTTTGTTGACCTTTCTTTGTTGTTGTTGATGTTGTTCTGTTGTTGTTGTTTAGTGTCATCTTTATGAGAGTAGAAGCCCTGGCTACTCCAGCTTTCTCCCTGGGTGGTGGTAGCGTGGGAGGGGGTGGCCGAGGTACCTGGGGTATCTTTAGAACGTGTTTCTGTGTCTCTTCCCTTTGTCTGTGTTTGCTCCAGCTCTTTGGTGCCTGCCACAGCCTCTCTGATCAGAGCAGGGGGTTGAAGCCAGAGAGAGGGAGGGGGTGGCTGGTTTATTTGGGAAAGAGGTGGGGAGCAAGGGAGCAAGTGAGAAGGGGTGCCTCCCTTCTCCCTGCTTTGTGGAAAGGGGAAGTGGGGGCTGTGTGTGTGTGTGTGTGTGCGCGTGCGTGCACGCATGTGCGTGCCCGATGTACACCGTCCTGGTTTCTCATGCCTGCTCATCTCTCTCCTGTCTAGATCCCTCTAGCTGAGATGGAGGCTCTGTCTCTGACGTCAGAGATTGTGTCTGAACCGTCCTGCTCTCTAGCTCTGACGGATGACTCTTTGCCTGATGACACTCACACACTCTTACTTAGTGCCCTGGAGAGCAATGTACATGCACACACCCCTTTGCTGCTCCCCCAGCCCGGGCTGGACCGGCTGCAGGGCTCCAGGTCCTCCTCCCGCTCAGCCACTAGGCCCTGCCCTGAGGTGTCCATGCAAGAGCATATGGTGGGGCTGGGAAGGTGGCTCAGTGGTAGAGCGCTTGCCTTGCATGCATGAGGCCCTCTGTTCGATTCCTCAGCACCACATAAGCAGAAAAAGACGGAAGTGGGGCTGAGGCTCAGGTGGTAGAGCACTGGTCTACAGCTGAAAAGCTGGGGGACAGCGCCCAGGCCCAGAGTTCAGGCCCCACAACCGACCCCCCCCAAAAAAAGAGCATATGGTGCCCCAGCCTTGGCTGGCATGAAGTCTAAGTCCCTCATGGGGGACAAAGGAATTAGAAGGCTTTGCCCAGAGGGACATGAGGGCAGTGGTTGTGAAAGGGTTACTCAGGAGTGACATGGCCCACAGCACGTGGCAACAGAGCCAGTCTCCACATGTGGAGCCCTGTGCCCGCCAGCCCTCCCTCCCTGCCCCTCCTTCCCCTCCCTGCTCATGAGGTGATCACCATCCATAGTGGGTGAGAGCCACATCTCTGCTGCCACCACCATGCCCTTCTCCACCTGAAGGCTGTTCCTGTCTCCTCTGTCACTGTCCCTGTGTGTCCCTGTATCCTTGCCAGACTTCTGGGGAGGGGCTTCTTTAATTTTTTCCACCCTTCCCCAGCTCCCATCCCCTTCTGACTGTGAGCAGCCCCCTCCTGGCCTTTTATTTCTGTTGTCAGAGCTGCCAGCCTTGACCACAGGCTGAGTCCTGAGGCTGAGAGGGACCATCCTCAACATAGCTACCTGCTAGGATCAGGGTATGACTGGCTGGGTCCACAGGGTCTTGAGGGATGGAGAAACCCTTGAGAGGGAACCTTGACTCTCTCCACTGGCATCTAAGGCTGATGACTATCTTCCTTTGGAACAGATGTCCCCAATTCCACACCCTCCTCCCCCCCTCCCCCCAGTCTAAGAGAAGAGCTGAGTCTCTAGGTGGTTAAAATGGGGAGGAGGGGAGAAGACTGACCTGCCCCTAGTGTTCATCTGCATTCAACCAGCATGGGCTTAGCTCAAGTCTGGATCCTAGGGCTCCCTTTGATCCAATAGGTGGGGGCCTTTAGAAAACAGTTGGGGGACTGGAGCTGTTACTTGAGCAATAGAACACCCACCCACCATGAGCCAGAAAGCCAAGTGAGGGTACAAGGCCCTGAGTTCAAGCCCTAGCACTGGCACTGAAACAAAAAAGAAAAAGAAATCATAGTAAGAAGGTACTTGGGGACCACCGGCAAGGCGGGGGCTGCTCTCCCTCCTCAGCTCCCTCCTCACCCTCCACCATCACTTCCAAGAAGCTTGCAGGCAATACCCTGGGCACGTTCTGGGGGAGGTAAAGCTGCTCCGCTCCTTCCTCCCTGTGTGGGGGACTCATCATGTACCCTCCCCGTGCCATGCTCATGCCTACCACCACCTTGTCCTGGAAAAGAATGGGGAGGGGAACGGCCTGGCGGGGTGGTGGGAATCATTTCTTGTCCAGCTCGGCCTCAGTAACCAGACCCGGCAGCTCCCACTCCACCTCTTTCCCTGTACCTTTTGCAGATGGAGCCCCACGTCAAGGAGGTACCCCTCACACTGGGACCCGATTTGCTGACTGTGCGCAAGTCTGGGGTCAGCCGGACGCACTCTCTGCCCAATGACAGCTACATGTGCCGGGATGAGAGCACTGCGGAGGGGTCCCTGGGACACAGAGGCTGGGGGCTTCCCAAAGCCCAGTCAGGTACCAGGACTGGGACGGGCCAGCTTGGCTCCCACAAGGAGGACCCAATCTTGCCTCAGATCAGTCCTGACAAGGGGCAACAAAACAGGACTCTCTTTTCTCTGGGAGAGCTTTAGCCTGAAGGGGAATAACTTTACCTAAAGGTGGTGAGGGTAGAGGCCCTGAAAGCAGAAGGGTGGAAGCAAGGAGCTCAGGCCTCCTCTCTCTGCCTCACTCCTGTCCCTTGCCTCCCTCAACAGGCTCCATCTTGTCGGTCCACTCCCAGCCAGCAGATACCAGCTATGTCCTGCAGCTTCCCAAAGATGCACCACATTTGCTCCAGCCTCACAGTGTCCCCACCTGGGGCACCATCCCTAAAATTCCCCCACCCGGCCGCTCCCCTCTGGCTCAGAGGCCACTCAGGCGCCAGGTGAGCAGGTGTGGAGGACTGGGCCTAGGACTGAACTCTGTTAGGACTCCTAGACTGTTGCTGACGACCAAGGTGGCCATTTCCGTTCTTCCAGAGAACATGTATTGTGTGCCAGTGGCAGGTCAGACTTGGGTTTTAGTCCCAGGGACATAGTACTGGAAGAAGCAGAGGGAATCATGGTCACCAGGACCATAGATGTCCAGTGGAAATGGTACCTAAGTCTCAAGGCTCCCTTTTCTTAGCCCAGAGCTACCTCCCTGTTCTTCACACTTTGGATTTAGCTGAGGGGCACAGGCAGGCTTTAAGGGTCTTTACTTTTGGCCAAGCACAGGACCCACTTTGCAGAACCCCCATTCTAGGCCCACAGGGAGACACAAATTACAACTAGTGAGGCTTGTCAGCTTCACACTGGCCATGGCTGTGATACCTGAGAATCTGCTCGGGCCTGCATTCTTGAGGAACAGGCATAGTCCCTTCAATTCTATACATACTCACTGAGCAGCCTCTGCCTACCAGGTGCCTGGGCACAGTCCCTGCCCTCTGAGCTCATAGTCTAATAGCGGAGACAGCCATGCCATCAGATTCCTGCAGCCACAAGTCACAGCTGTGGGATGCTTTTGTATAGGGGTGAAGCAGGAAGCGAAGAAAAGGGAGTCAGCTCTCCTCGGGGTGGAGATTGTCAGGCCCTCCATCACAGAGACCTTGAGTATCCAAAGGAGTGCCTGCTAGTTGGGAAGTGTGTTCAAGGCCAAAGGGACAGACTGGGCAAAGGCTGAGTGGCATAAAGGGACCAACTGGGGACAAGAGCTGGCCTGGGTATTTTATTTCTTCCCAGAGGTCAGGGACTGTACAGCGCTAACCCTGCAGCCTTGGGGGAGACAGGGTATGGAGGAAGGAAAAGAGGTTTGTGGGGGAGTGAATAAAGGTATGGTGGGCCATTGAAGTCAAGCTGCACACAGTTATCTTCAGGGCTGGAGGCATGGCTCAGGTGGTAGAGCACCAGCCATGAGTGAAAATGTCAGAGACTCAGTTCAAGTCCTGGGGGGGGGCGGGGGGGGGGGTGCAGTTACCAGTACACCTGTTAAAGGGGGTCCTGCTGTAGCTGCAAGGAGGTAGGAGATCCTAGATGGTCAGAAGAAGGGACAAGGGACAATCCGTGGTGAGTTCTTCGCCCATTCCATACAGGCAGCAATAAGGACCGATTCCTTGGACGTGCAGGGCCTGGGCAGCCGGGAAGACCTGCTGTCGGAGGTGGGCAGGCCCTCCCCACCTCTGGCTCGTTCCTCCTCCTTCTGGGGCCGGTCCAGCATCCAGGTACAGCCACATTCCCACAGCAAGCTCCAGTCGAAGCACATGCCCCCACCAGCCCCCTGCCCAGGCCTGGATCCTAATTGGGGCAAAGACCCTCCAGAGACCAGAAGCAGCTTAGAGCTGGACACAGAGCTGAGCTGGATTTCAGGAGACCTCCTGCCTACCAGCAGCCAGGATGAGCCCCCATCCCCACGGGACCTGAAGAAGTGCTACAGTGTGGAGGCTCAGAGTGGCCGGCGCCGGCCTGCATCCTGGCTGGATGATCAGAGGAGGCACTCCATCGCGGTCAGCTGTCTGGACAGTGGCTCTCAGTCCCGCCTGGGTCCAGACCCCTCAAGCCTTGGGGGTCAGTCTCTTGGAGGCCCTGGGAGCCGGCCCAAGAAAAAACTCAGCCCACCCAGTATCTCTATAGACCCTCCGGAGAACCAGGGCCCTCGAACCCCATCCAGCCCTGGAATCTGCCTCCGGAGGAGAGCTCCGTCCAGCGACTCCAAGGATCCCTTGGCCTCTGGCCTCCCTGACAGCATGGCTGCCTCGCCCTCCCCAAAGAAAGATGTACTGAGTCTCTCTGGTTTGTCCTCTGACCCAGCAGACCTGGACCCTTGAGTCCCACCCACTCTCCCATTCACCTTTCTCCACTGGGTGCACATCTTAACTCCTCCTGGGCCATATGCCTGAGAAGTCCCATAGAGACACCTAGGAGGCTGCCCTCCCTGCCTCCATGGTTCTGGACACCTGCAAGCAGGACTTCCAGAGAGTCCGAAGCGCAGCCCTGGCAATTCCGGCTCCAGGCAGAAAGCAAGGGAGAGGCCCAGCATGGCCGAGGTTCCCACACCAGGAGCTATTGGGAGAAAGCAATACGTTTGTGCAGAATCTCTATGTATATTCTATTTTATTAAATTAATTGAATCTAGTATATGCCGGATGTACGACATTTTGTGACTGAAGAGACTTGTTTCCTTCTACTTTTATGTGTCTCAGAATATTTTTGAGGCGAAGGCGTCTGTCTCTTGGCTATTTTAACCTAAAACAACCAGTCTAGTTATTCCCTCTTCTTGTAAAGCACAAGCTGGGACCTTGCGTGCATTTCCAGCCCCGACAGGGGCCTATCTTCTGCGGAGAGTGAGAATCATTTTGGAAACTGTAATGTAACTTATTTTCTCCTTTAATCTCCTCATCATTTTCTGTAGGGGGAAAAAAAAAAACAAAAAAAAAAAAGAGAAAAAGGAAAAAAATGAGATTTTACAAATGAAATGGAACCTTTTTATATATACATACATACATATCTATATATCTATATATCTATATAAAATAAAGTAATTTTCCAAAATAATCACGGTGGAGAGTAAAAACAAAGGGGATGGAGAAGTAGCCCTATGCAGATGGCCCAGCAGAGTTCTGGAGATGGAAGTGGGTGGTGGAGAGGGGAGGTTTGGTGTGTGTGTGAATGTGTGTGGGCATATGCATTTGTGTGTATGTGTGTGTGCATAAAGGTCATGTAGGCATGTGTATTTGGGTGTGAGTTGTGTGGTATATGAGTACATTCAGGCATATGCATGTGTGTGTGTTTGTGTGTGTGTGTTTGAAAGAAAACCCAAACACTCAGCCTTGGAGAAGTTCTCCCCTGGCCTCTTGAGGAAGGGAGAGGAGGAAGCCCTCTGCCTAACAAGACTGGGGAGAAAGAAGAGGGCTCCTGTTTCTATCAAAGCTTTATGGCGCCCTCTAAGCCATGCAGCTCAGTGAATGTAATTCCAGATTAGCTCTTATTTCTGCTGACAGCTATCAGCCATGCATTGAAAGCTGGAAATTGGCATAATGAAGCTGTTTTGGTTAATGGGGCTGACTGCGGCTGGGAGGTGGCCTCAGCTGTGGCTGATCTGGATCTGGGACTTGATGGGGGAGGGGCAAGCGCTTCTGGGTTTCCTTCCTCTGGCCTCTGCAGGGATTTGCCCCAATTCTGGCTGGGTGGAGACCTGGGCAGGCAGGGCTGGGGGAGGGGGCCGGGTATCTGACTTCTGCCTGGTGCCTTGGGCTTCTCCCACCATCCTGCTGGCAATGAGTTGAAGCTGTGTAAATAAAGCTGCTCCCTCTAGAGGATATAAGGACCAGGGTGTCTAGCTCCACAGGAGTAGGGTCTGGGCAGGTGGTTTACCAGGCAGCTGTGGGGGAAGCTGGCCCCCTGAGGGGTGATGAACAACAACAGCAAGGTGCTTACATGGTCTGCTGCTGCCTGCCCTGTGGGAGACAGAGGAGGAGGGAGGGGTGATGGCAGCCACCACGGGCAGGAGGGGGAGGAGAAGGGGCGAGTCACCTGGCACAGAGCCATCTTTCTGGTGCAACCACTGGCAACAGTCTCTTATCTGAAACCGTGGTACCAAGAGGTGGTGACAAGGGGCTCAGCTGGCCTGTCACCTGCCAGCCACCCCCAAACATCTGCCTCATTCCCACTCCTTTGAGCATCATGGCCCCTTTAAGCCCCAGGACTGGATTGGTTTGGGTGGGGTTTTCTTGTGATGCAATACCACTGAGACCCCCTCCCCCTGCCCAAACCAGCCCGGGATTAGATCTTTGAAGTCCTAGTGACAGCCCACACTCAGGCTCTCCCCCAACCCCATCTGCTTGGGCAGCTGGGAGCCAAGGTTGCCAGGCTGCTAGGCGGCTGGACCCGCAGGCGTCCATCGTCCAGCTTGTGTTTCTGAAGCTGGGGAGAGCTTTTCTAATTGCTCTTTTGGACAGGAATGATACCACTTCTGGAAGCAAACACCCGGTTTGATCTTCCTAGAGTGTACAATAAAGCCAAGCTCTCTTTCCTCTGTCCTCCTCCAGTGGAAGAGGGGGTGATGGTACAAGCTGCTGCTTTTTTTTTTTTTTAGCAGAGCTGTACAAAATTCCTAGAGTTTTGTCACTTGAATCTGCAGATTAAGCTTGTATATTTTTTGTAGAATCTGTACCTGTCTATTCCCTGCAGGTGGGAGATTTGAGGAGAGGGTTTTGGGATCTTCTTTTTTTTTTCCTTTAGGGAACTGGAAGATTCTGGGTCAAAGCAAAGCAGAGAACTGGCCCTCTACCCCTTCCCTCCCCTTTGGTCCATCCTTTTCTCTGTGAACAGCTGAACAGCCCTGCAATACTGCGGTATGTAGGGCTATGCTTAGCAATGCCCAGTTCTTTCAGAGGTTCTCTTTTTCAGGTCTTTCTCTTTCTAGTAGGGACCAGGAGAGCTGGTGTGTGGTACATTGGCTACGTGTTGGGGTTCTTTTCTAGAGATCTGCTGGTGGGAAGGGAAACCCTTTCCTGCTTGCTCCCTCTTAGACGCCCATCAGTGGACCAGAGCATTTCTCTGGAAGGAGGCAGTGCGTGGAGTAGAGGCCTCTGGGCGTTTCTTTGGGAGTAGCAATAGAGGTGGAGAGGGGAATTATGGCTTCTTCTCCAACTCTGGAAAATCTTTGTCAAGGATGGGAAGTGTTGAGTCTCATTGGAAGAGTTGGGAAGTGAGTCTTTGCAAGGTGGTCATGCCGCTGCTGACCGCATGAGCCTATTTTGGTGGTTATTGGAGCCTGCTCCAGGGTCCCCAGGAGTAGGGTGGACGGTCTGAAGGAATCCAGAGTGGGAAAGGCTGATAGAGGCATCAGGTCTGTCTTGTAGAGCCTCCAGGGCCAGTTGGGAACTACCTAGGGATTTCCAGGATAGGCTAGGCTTTGGAGTAAGTACACTTCTGTTCTGCCCTTGGTCTTCTCCTTGGGGGTTCTGAGGAAATTGTGTCAACAGCTTCAGCCCCGCCCCCTCCCTCACCTCAGGCTTGGCTGCTTCTGCTTCCTCCACCCCCAAAGCTCCAGGAAAAGGTCTGTCTGGAGGAGGGACTGGGAAGAGGAGTGATCTGAGCTGGTGCTAAAAACAAACCTGAAGCTCATATGCAGTCTCTCACTCACTCCGCAAGATGCCCGCCCAAGCAAGGGAAATACCATCGCTAGCTTTTCACGCAGTAATGGATTCAGGTTAAGGGACTTGCCCAAGGTCACATAGCCACAAAATAGCAGAGTCAGAATCCTAGGGGTGGCTCAGCCTCAGTAACTCCTGCACCCCTAGTCTCTTCTCCCAGTGCAGGGATTAGGGCAACTTGGGGAAACGCAGGCTTACAAAATGAAAAGATAGTAGGGAGCCTTTCTCAGAGCAGTCACACTCGTATTTACAGAACTGTACCCGCGTGTCCCCAGAGGGGCAAACTTAGTGGGTCACCAGTCTTCTACCATAGGGCCAGTGCGGGGGAGGGGGAGCTTCACTCACAGGAGAAGGCTTCCCTCAGTCACAGGCTGGCCAAGGCCTGCTCTGCAGTCACTCCAGGTTCCCAGGCACCACCCCTTCCTGACACAGCCCTGACCCTTGGAGCCCTGACATCTGTTCTCCTCCCCCTACTTCCTGTCTTCTAACCCTACCTCACCCATACCCTGCCCACTTTCCAAATAGGCTTCATCTCCACCTTCATCCCTAGTTCCCACCCATTCAAGACTGGTGCCCTTTGGCCTCTTTTATCCTCTTCCCCAGGCCAGATGTGTGGCCCAGCTTGCCCAGGGAATGATAGCTGTGTAGTGAGGGCATCAGACACAAGGTGGTAGCACTAAGCGCTCTCTCACCTGGTGTCACCTGCTGCCCCCCCACAGAAGGACCAAGCCAGGAAAGGACACCCACATTCATAAACACCTGCAGACAGGCGCACTGTACAAACCCCACCCCTACCCCATGGAGGAAATGGGCTCAATGAAGACCCAATAAGGGGCTTGCACATGGGGAAATTCAGACAGGAATCCCACTACCTGCTTGCAGGTACCCTTAGAGCCAGTGATCCCTGCCTAAACCCAGTAAGCTTAGGACTAATCCCAGATAGTGGTGGGACTCAGAGGGGACTTCACTGTCACCACAACTTTACTTGTGAGCTAGCATCCTCCTCTAGGACAGGGCAAGTTAGGCAAAGGAGGCAAGGGTTCCAGTTAAACTCTAGGAGGAAATTCTGCTTAGAACTCTGAAACTCTGTGAGCCTTAGCCCTGGTTTAGATGTGGAAGCTACTGGCTGTGGCCCACAGAGATTATTAATTCTTTCTTTGAACATGCCAGAACCAAGCTGGACATACCTATAATCCTAGCACCCTGAAGCCTGGAGGCTGAAACAGGGGGACCTCAAGTTCAAGACCGACCTGTGGGACAATGAGACCCTGCCTTTAAGAAGAAAGGGAGGAAAGAAAGAAGAAAGGGAAGAATGAAGGAAGAGAGAGAGAGAAGGAAAGAATGAAAAAAGATATAGAGAAGGAAGAAAAGAGAAAGAAGAAGAAGGACTCCAGAACTGTGTGTAGTATTCAAACTCTTGCATGCACACCAATCAGATGGGGGCAGCCTTGCTGAGACCATGAGGAGACCAGGAAAATCTTCCAGGCTGTATCTAGAGGGAACAGATCCCTCTGCTTGGGAGGAGAGCCCAAGAGGGTCAAGATGAGGGAGGCAGTGAGATGGAGGGGCTTTGTTTTTCCCAGGCCATCCCTCCTGTCAGCTCCAGCCTGACCCACACCCCGGCAGCATTCCCTGCGCCTAGGTGTTCTTGTCCCCTGGCTCTGCTGTTCTCTCTGGCTGTCATGCCTGTCATCCCTGCCATTTTGACTCCCTGGTGCTGGTTCTCTGGCAAGATACAACACACATTGTGGATATCCAGTCTGGAGCCACACAATCAGGCAGAAAGGGAGGCCAGAGCCAGATCTCAGCATGCCACAAGCTCAGCAGAAACACCTTGGTTTTAAAACTCAAAAGCAAAGCAGGCAGATTCTGCTGCTGAGACTGCATTAATATCACAGTGACCTCATTACCTGTGATCTCTTCTTAGGAAGTAGGGTACTGAATTAATCAGTCAACAAACACATCTTGAGGACTAATTTGGCTGGACACTGACCTTGGTGCTGAGGGTACCATGAAAAACAAAGCTCTGTCCCTATTCTAAAGGTGCCAACAGTGCTTCTAGGAAAGACAACCAGAGCCAGGCACTGGTGGCTCACACCTGTAATCCTAGCTACTCAGGAGGCCTGGACAGGGACAAGAAAGTCCATAAGATTCATCTCCAATTAACCACCAGGAAACCGGAAGTAGCCCTGTGACTCATGCGGTAGAGCCCTGGCCTTGAGCTAAAGAGCTAAAGAGTTCAGGAACAGCGCCCAGGCCCAGAGTTCAAGCCCCATGACCAACAAAAAAAGAAAAGAAAGAAAGAAAAAGATAACCAGCCATGATAATACAGACAGGGGAATGAATGTGTGGAGGAAAGATAGGTAATCCAGGGTTGGGGTGAGGGAAGTCCAATGA